AAATTTTTAAAAAAAACCGATTTACATTAGTGTACTGTGTGGCGGGTTGAATGAGGAAAGTAATTAACTTTCCTTGTTTTTGCTCGCACGTGTCAATGTTATTTACAGTATTTGGTTTCTCTCTCTTCCTAATTTTACTTCTCTCTCCTTTGCTCATTCTCTCTTCCGCCATATTTTTTGCTCCCGTCTCCGCCATTGTTACAAGCTTGTAGCTTTCTTCCATCGATTTCTAGGTTTGTTTACTCATAGTTTTGTTTTCTTAATTTACTTTTTTTTTTTTCTTTTTACTGTGAAAATCGTCTTGCAAACGAATCTACTAACTGCAGGTGAATTTTTTCTTCAATTTTTATTTTATGTATTCTGTTTTGCACTTTTCTTTACACACATTAGAAATAATCATTGAGGATCAATTGAAATAAAGGTAATTCGTGTTTTTATTTGAATTCTAGGGTTTTATATGATGAATTTAACTAGGCTATATGGTGGATTTTGTAATTTGTGCAAATTTTACTTATTTTCATCATTCAAATCAAATTATAGGGTTCTATGTTGTGGATGTTAATTTGCTTTGTCTTTTATGTAATTTGATTTTTGTTATCCTGCAATATGAAATTATACTTTATTGAAGAAATTGAAATTAATGTATTTTGTAACTTTCTGAATTTCAGATAATTTTGGACCAAATAGACATTATACAATAGATAAAAGAGTTTTAAAAAAGTGCATGGTAGTATTTAAAATTTTTTAGGCCTTCTATGGATTTTTTTTTTGCAAAGAAGGGAATTATCCTACTTACAAAAGCATTAGACAATAGAGTTGAGTACAGTAAAAATTGTTTAGTCTTTTGAACTAGTTATCACTGCCTTATTACTTGAAAATTGAGAGGGATAAACTTTCAAAGGATAAATCTTGGTGGGATTTATTTTGGTGTCTTTTGTAGGGGATTTGGTTGAAGAGAAATGCTGGACACTTTGGGAGAAGATCAATATAAACCTTTGTGCTGCAAGACCTGTCTTAACAATTGCTATGGATGCTGGCCTTAGTAAGGCTATTCTTGAGACTGGTAACATTTAACTTTTTTCTTATTTGAAGCATGTGAAACAGGAAGTTATTATCAGTGATTTTGTTAAGCTTACTAGTCTTAACAATCTTATCTTTTTCTCTCATGTAAGTAGATGTGGTAATGTTGCTGCTCATAAACTTGCCCAAGCTAGTGGAGATGAGAGTATGGGTTGAGGAGGCTCCACGTTGTGTAATGGCTGCTGTGATGCTTGATTCTGCTATCATCCCTTAATAAATTTTGCTACTGTAACTTTCAAAGTTCATCCTTCTTTTTTTATAACACTTATTCAATGGTTTTAGGGGTCTTGAGGCCTCAAGAACTTTTAGAGCAAGTAAACTGATATTGTAATAGTCAATATGCAACTATGATAAGAGCTTGAGTCATTTATAGATGATGATTTGGATTGGCACAATGTACTTTTGATGACACCAGAGTTATTGATGAATTGAAGTTTCTCTCTATCCTTCTTTTAATGAGCATACTAGCTATTTTTTTTAAATGTGTGATTGTGTTGCAATGGTTATAATAGCAATGGAAATTGAAGTGTTTAATATCAAGGCTATTAGCTCAAAAGGTAGAGCAATGTACTATAAGTGTACATGGTGTGGGTTCAAGCCCCACATAGCCTATACATATTGGTGTATTCATATTGTTGGTGTAACCATGTAACCATGGCCATTTTTATATAACTTACTTAGGATCATTTAATTAATTAAGTTCTTTTGATTAGGGTTACTTTTAACTTGGTTATGGTCACTTTCACTCTTTATTAATTTTGTCCATGGTTAGGGGTACCTTTTCACTTGAGTAAGGTCACTTTTGTCTCGATTAGGGTCACGTTTACCCTCGATGAGAGTCACTTTACTTTTGTCTCAGTTATGGTTATTTTTGCGCTGGTTAGGGTCACTTTTAATCTTGCTTAGGGTCACTTTTGTCCCAGTTAGGGTCACTTTTGCACTTGCTTAGGGTCACTTTTGTCTCAAATTAGGGTCACTTTTGCCCTTGATTAGGATCACTTTTTGCCTTGCTCAAGGTCACTTTTGTCCCAGTTAGGGTCACTTTTGCACTTGCTTAGGGTCACTTTTGTCTCAAATTAGGGTCACTTTTGCCCTTGATTAGGGTCACTTTTGCCCTTAATTAAGGTCACTTTTTGCCTTGCTCAAGGTACTTTTGTCCCAGTTAGGGTCACTTTTGCACTCGCTTAGGGTCACTTTTATTCTTGCTTAGGGTTACTTTTATTCTTGCTTAGGGTCACTTTTACCCTCAATTAAGGTCACTTTTTTACCTTGCTCAAGGTACTTTTGTTCCAGTTAGGGTCACTTTTGCACTCGCTTAGGGTCATTTTTATTCTTGCTTAGGGTCACTTTTGTCTTGAATTAGGGTTACTTTTGCCCTTGGTTAGGGTCACTGTTGCCCACAATTAAGGTCACTTTTGTGCCAGTTAGGGTCACTTTTGCACTTGGTTAGGGTCACTTTTTCTCTCGCTCAGGGTCACTTTTGTCCCACTTAGGGTCACTTCTTCCCTTAGTTAGAGTCACTTTTATCCCCAATTTGTGTCACTTTTGTTCTCAATTAGGATCACTTTTGTCAATTAGGATCACTTTTGCCCTTAGTTAGGGTCACTTTTGTCTCTAGTTAGAATCACTATTTCTTAAGTTAATACTATGGTACAACAAATAGCCTATGTAGGACTCGAACCTACATCCTCTATGCGTATGTAGAAGCATAGAGTGCTCGACCAATTGAACTAATAGGCTTGTAAACAACATAATAAAAAATTGTTTTTTTGTATATAATGATTTTCTCTTCCAATTAACAAATGACATATTTACAGAGGGCTATAAATATACTCTTATATTCAATACATAAGCATTAAGCACCAACAACAATTTTACAGAAAGCTATGAATATACTCAGTATCAATAAAATTGCATAGTACCTTGATAATATAAATTGTGATAAATTGTGATACACCAGTATTAGAACGACATTGAAGCTATAAGTGAAAGACAACACCACAAAATAATCAAAAGCATCACCATAAATATTAGCGAGAATTGCGATAAAATGAAAACACATACAATAACAACAGGATACTAGATTATTCTGACATTACCAAATACTAGCTGTAGTTGTTTCCATCGTGTAGCTTCAATTATGATTTGAGAGTTAAATATTTTAATTTCATGCCATGATTTGAATTGAAGGTTTGGAAATATGACCGGAAAAATCAACTGGAATTGTTAATCAATAAATTTGAAAGCAAGTATTGCAATTTGAGTAATTTAGGGTTCGTAATTTGATCATCAACAGGTCAATCAATTGCACGCTGAAAATTAAGATTAGTGGAATTGAAATTCTATACAAATACAACTATCTTTTTGTGGTTTGAGGTTGAATTTGGTTGCAATATTCTTTTGTTTGATTGAACAAACATGAGAGAAAAATATTGGGGACTGTGATTGTTGACTTGTTGTTGTTGTTTTCAACTTTTCATGAATGACTTGATTGCTTATGGGCCTTGTGGCACATGTGAGATTTGGATGTACAATAATATTATTGTACACCCGGAGCATACAAAAACTTTTGAAATTAAAAAGGATGGTACCAAATTATTAAACAAATAAGAGATAATAATGTGGCAGCCAATTTTGTAGTCCTCACTATACTTTGACAACCGCCAAGGAAATACCAGGTCAACCTATATCTTTATCTCACCAACCTGCTTTGACTTTTCTACTCCCTCTTTATCAATTTATACTCGTATTTTTATTCCACTACTTTCTTTCCTTTTCACTCTTTTTTTTTTCTTCTTATTATCCAACATTAATTACTAACATACCTACTTATATCTCCCAAGTCATAACAGAATTTCTTTATTTAGATATATGACACGCCTATTTTTAAATAAAAATAAGTCGGGATAAATTGTTTCACATTGAAAATATAAAAAACTATAATATTAGGGTGGATGATGAGAATTATTGATCCCAAAATCTCTTAAATTTAGGAGGAGGACTTTAAGCCTTTAACCAACTAACCTATCCCTGGATCTCACTAATAATTAGAATATCAACCTATGTCATTAATTAGTACTCGTACTGATCTAATGGTAAGTATTGTATGGCTATATCTCCTAATCTTGAGGCTTTGGGATCAATCCTTTTGGGGCGAGGATCCTCTTACCCTTCTTCCCTTATTATACTTCTTAAATTAGAAAGTGTACACTTATTCTTTTCAGATGCTTTATTTTTTATTTGTTTGTTGCATTTGACTTATAGAGGCAAACCTTTTGCTGGTTAGAGAATTTACATTTCAACACTAACAAATTAAGGACTTAAGGTTAGTACTATACTATGCATGCTCCACATAAAACTTGTAGTATAAAACTTGTACTACTTTTGGACCATAAAATACATTTTTTGGAAGCATATATATATGCCCACTATACAATAAACGAAGTATTACTTTAGTAGAAGTCTTAAATTATAATTAATTTTAACTAATCTCATATCAACACAACTAAAAGGCTTGATTAAATTCACTCACGTATAATTCAACTTCAACAACATAAAAAAATAATCAACAAATATACGGTCAATCGGTCATGTACATACAGTCCAATATTATAATGAAGCAAGCTAGCTGTTCCCATTAACATTAACCGAATCATCTAGGAAACGCCAAATAATAATTAGATAACATCAACTAGGTAATTCATATAATTACAAAATAATAAAAATCTCTTTACTTTAATTATACTTGTATTATTCTCACAGTCACACCAAACCCCATTTAGAAAGAAAGAGGAAATGTTGAATAATAACATAACTATTACACCTACTCATCAATCCACTCTTCATGGATGACCCATTTATTCTCAATTATTTATTTTCCTACTTGTACATAATATAATGTCATATACTATATATATGTAACACTCCTCTAAAGGTTTAAAATTATAACACAACGTAAAGTTTAGCAAACAACTAACAACGCAAAAATGAGTGAAGCTAGGGAGATATACTCAGCCCCTCTAACACCTAGATCAGGCACGGCCACACCAAAATCGGGCACGGTCACACCCATGACACCACCAATATCCGCCCCGCCATCACAGTTTCATTCCCCGTCTTTATCCCGGTCACCTCTCCTTTCATTTAATGAGAACGTCGAGCCTATAAATGGTCTTAATAATAATAATAACGGGACTAATAAAACCCCTAAAGGGTCTAGGCCTAGGACGCCGGTCCAATTCATTAGTCCATTGGCTAGTCCACTTAGAAGGGCTATAACCCCTTTGGCTAGCCCCTTGAGGAGAGCCATAACGCCGATAGCTAGCCCGATTAGGAAGGCGATTAGCATGACTAAGCTTGATCCTCAAGATGCTTGGCTTCCTATTACGGAGTCTAGGAATGGAAATGCGTTTTATGCTGCTTTTCATACGCTTTGTTCTGGGATTGGAATTCAGGCTCTTGTTCTTCCTGTTGCTTTTACTGTCCTTGGTTGGTAAGTTATAATCCCTAATCTTCCCTACATATAGTATATACATCTATATTTGTTTTTTTTCAAATTTCTTACAATATTTTGAACCGTCCAATTTTATGCGAATACGTGAATGAATTGATCCCGTTTAAACTCTCTATCTTATGTCTAAAATTCATAATAATCAGTAAGTTTATACATTTGTTTTTTACCATATAAATGTTTAGTGTTTCAGATATTTTAAAAAAAAATTATCTTTTTTACTAGGTATAGAAATTTGAATTTTAAAGACGGATGAAAGTGTTTAATTAAATGTGGTAATTGCGTAAGAAAAAATATGCATGCATGTGATGCTTCTACCTACATAAAACATTTTTATTGGAACATAAATCCATGACAAAATTAGGTAAATTTGCTTTTTTTTTTTCTTTTGGTATGTGATCGTTGGGCAGAATAACTTGACTTTTATTTTGTCTTCTTCAAATAATTTATTTCAAACTATGTTGACACTCTAGCTTTGGTCAAACCACCCCACTACTATTCCCACCCACCCAAAATCATAGTGAGGTCATTGCTCGTTCATACCTTTGTTTATTGTTATTGTAAGAAATTACTCCTTCTGTTTCATTTTACTTTTACTTAAATATATTGGTATGTAATTGTTTGACTTGCTTGGTTCGGCTTCTAAATCTAATTTAAACTTGGTGGGTGCAGGACATGGGGAATCATCTGTTTAACATTAGCCTTCCTATGGCAACTTTACACCCTCTATCTACTAGTACAACTCCACGAATCAACGGAGACGGGTGTTCGTTATAGTCGTTACTTCACGCTATGTATTGCAGCTTTTGGTACGTAACTAACCAAGAACGAACAACCTTGCTTGAACTTATACGTGATCAATGTAATAAAAATTTAAATCAAATTAAAGATAATGTGACTAATGTTATCTTAATTGGAATTGGTTGACAGGTGAAAAAGCAGGCAAGCTAATGGCAATGTTCCCATACATGTACTTATCAGCTGGCACGTGCGTGCTTCTGATTAGTATAGCGGGGTCCACGTGCAAAATATTCTTCCAAATTGTATGTGGCCAAGATTGTACGGCTAAGCCCTTAACCTTAACGGAGTGGTACTTGGTGTTCACTTGTGCTGCCGTGGTGTTGTCTCAACTACCAAACATGAACTCCATTGCCGGTGTTTCTTTAATTGGCGCCATCACCGCTGTGGCTTACATCACCATAATATGGGCCGTGTCCGTCGCTAAGCATGCTCTACCCGGAGTATCCTATGAGCCGGTCCGATCTGCTTCCACTATTAAGAATGTGTTTAGTGTCCTTAATGCACTTGGGATTATTGCTTTCGCTTTTAGAGGCCACAATCTCATACTCGAAATTCAGGTAATTATTTACATCATTTAAAGGTGTAACGCGTACAAATTTTAGAACACTGGTAGTAGTGTAGCAGATATAAGGTGGTTAATGAAACAAATATATATCAACTCAATTATTTACCCTAATCATCGAAGATATTATTGTTATGAGCAAGTTGCCAAGTATCTAAGCAAGGTGCATGTTTATAATGAAACTCTATCTCTAAATGGACCGTCCTGTTTCAATTTATGACTTTGACCTATTCTTAAGCCAATTTAGAAAATCAATCAATATAATTGTATTAAATGCCAATTGAAATATAGGAAAAATCTTTAGTAGGTTGTTGGTGTGGTGGCTTGGTTGGTACCCCTTTGTGGGCTACTTTGTGTTTAAAAATTGACATAAAATTTGACTTTTAGTGTGTTACACTACTACAGTGGTTTGGTGAGCGTATGAAATGGAGAAAAGTAGTCTTCAAAAGAGTCTTTATTTTGTCATTTTTCATTGCTAGTCGCATCATTTTTTTTTTAACATTAAATCTTCAATTCATTGTTTCTTGGTAGGTGTCTTTCAATTGTTCAAAGTCGGTTTTATGGGCTAATTCAAATGATGTTATCGTGTATTACATCATGTTGTTAGTGTATCAACGTCTATATGTTATTAGTTTTTGCTTACTTTATGTCACATTGTGTTAGTTAATTAGATTCTTAAGAGTCTTAGACTCAATTTACTTTAACAATCTAGCTTAATCCATGTCTTTATCAATCTCTTTAATAGAACGACACGTAAAACAAAAATAAATAAAGACAAGTTGGTAGGCGGCTCTAATTTTATGTAAAAGTAAATAAAACTAACTGAATATGATATACGGGTACAAATTAGATCATGGACACATGTGCACGATGTAAGTTTAAGTTTAACTTAATGTCTAAAGTATGAAACATGACTAATAGTATGAATGATTCAATTGCTATCATTTCAGGCAACAATGCCTTCAAGCGAGAAACACCCATCAAGGGTACCAATGTGGAAGGGTGTCCAATCAGCTTATGTTCTAATTGCAATGTGCTTGTATCCTCTTGCAATTGGGGGATTTTGGGCTTATGGAAACAAGGTAATTACTAATATTTCTATTAAAAAAAATAATTATGTTATTATAGTTAATATGTTTTCGTGTTATGATTGATAAAAATGTACTAATATTTGTTATAATTGTATTGTATGTAGATACCACAAGATGGAGGCATGCTAACAGCCTTGTATCAATTCCATGGACGTGACACATCCCAATTCATCCTAGGCCTAACAAGTTTATTCGTGATTGTTAACGCCCTAAGTTCGTTCCAAATCTATGGTATGCCAATGTTTGATGACATTGAGTCCAAGTACACAATGAGAAAAAAGAAGCCATGTCCGTGGTGGCTACGAGCCATATTCCGAGCACTATGTGGGTTCCTATGCTTCTTCTTCGCGGTTGCATTCCCCTTCGTTGCAAGCTTTGCTGGACTTATTGGAGGGATTGCCTTGCCCTTAACCTTAGCCTACCCTTGTTTTATTTGGATCGTTTTGAAAAAGCCTAAAGCTTATGGTCCAATGTGGTGTCTAAATTGGGGATTAGGGGTCTTAGGGATGGTACTTAGTGTATTAATGATTGCTGCTGGTATTTACGTTGTTATTGCTAATGGGGTTGAATTTCATTTTTTCAAGCCTCACTAATATAATTAACAAAAATATAACGTAACGCATACGAAGTATGTAATAATAAGGTTGTGTATGTATAATATAAAGTATTTTTTGTAGGTTGGGGTTAGGTGGAAAAAAAAGGTTGCAAATGGTAAAATGATGACAAGTTTGTAACGATGTGGATTACGTTTAATGTTTCTAGCTAACATGTGAAGTGAATCAACGTGTTCCTTTACATGATGAGTGATAATTAAGCTTCATTTTAGGATGTATAATTAGTGTTTGTAATTTCAAGGTTGATATTAATTTCAATTTATTAATTATTTGGAGAAATTATTGTGGACTACTTTACCATTGATTGACTCTTTGCACAAATACCTTAATTCATAAGAAGTGTTTTTTTTTTTTTTTTTTGAAAAAAAAATTAAAAAAAATTGCATTTGTATTGTAAAACACATACCCGATACACCTACTACTCTTCTATATAAAGCATTCACATTTCTATGGCCATGTGACTCATGAGTCATGACACAATACTAATGAACACAATACTAGAGAGTAGGGGTGGGACTTTTCAAACCGAACCGTGAAACCGTCCGTTACCGAACCGAACCATCACGGACCGAACCAATTTTAAACCGAAAACCGAACTGAACCGTATAATGTCAAACCGAAACCGAACCGAACCAATTAATGTTAACCCGTTACGAACCATAAACCAATAACAAACCAAACCGTTTATAAACCGAAACCGTTTGAACCGATTAATGTTAACCCGCTAACTGTTTAAACCGAACCGTTTATAAACCGAAACCGTTTAAACCGTAGGAAAAAACCGTTTAAATCGAACCATTTACAACCCGCTAACCGTTTAAACCGAACTGTTATAACCCATTAAACCGTTTAAACCGAACTATTTTCAAACCGCAACCCATTTAAACCGATCCGATTACAAACTATTTAAACTGAACCGTTTACAACCCGTTCCATTCAAATTGAACTATTTGCAGCCTTTAACAATTTGTTAGAATTCCACGAAATATATTTGATGTTAAATGTAATTTAACTATACAATTTTTTTTACATATAATTATTGATTTAAATTTGTAAATTTTTTTGCTATTACAAAATTAAAATTATATTCTTGTATAACTAAATTAGGAGTTATAAATTAAATAAAAAAATGAAAAAATTTGACCACCCACCCAATCCAACCACCCTCCACCCACCCACCACCGTAACCCACCCTAACACCACCCCCGCCATCACCCCAGACCCACCCTAACACTACCCCCACCCACCACCGTTACCGTAACTCACCCCCACCCCACCACCGTTACCGTAACCCACCCCCACCCCACCAACGTCAACCCAGACCCACCCTAACACCACCCCCGCACCCACCATAATTACCGTAACCCACCCCACCCCACCATCCACCGTAAATAAAAAAACCCAGACCCAAACCTTACCCCACCCCATCCACCACCGTCACCGTAAATAAAAAAAATCCAGACCCATACCCCACCCCACCTACCACCATCACCGTAACGTACCCCACCCCACCCCCTTAACAAACCCCACCCCACCCCACCCACCACCGTCACTAAAAAAAAAAAAAAAAAAAAAAAAAACCCAACCCCAACCACACCCACCACCACCGTAACACACCCCACCCCACCCCATACAAAAAAATCGAAAAAAAAACCCAAACCCACCGTAACCCCACCCCACCCGCCCCCACGAAACCCAACATCCTCGAAACCCCCCAACTCACTCTAATTGCTCACCCACCATAAAACTCCCTCCCTCCCTCGAAAAATCCTCCCTCCCCACCCACCCGAACCCAGTCTAACCGCCGCCGCACCCACCCTAACTCGGCCCCCTCCGTTGCCCACAACTTGAAAAAAAATTAAAAAGAAAAACAGAAAATAAAAAAAGGAAGAACGAAAACACCTTATATATTAATCCTGAATTTGGCCTCAAATTTGGTTTTAAAAGGCCAAATTCAATCATGAAACAACTAGATCTAGAGTTTCGTGGTCGAATTTGACCATAAAAACCGTCGTGCGTGGTGCCGGTGGACGGAGACGGAGAAACGAGATGGAAGAAAGGAGAACATAGACGGAAGAAGGGAGAAGAAGGAAGAAGAAGAAAGGAAGAAGGAAGAGGAGATGAGAGAGAAAACGAGAGAGCAGTGAGCATATTAGCAGCCATGGCTTCAAAAAATTGATAATATTACAGAAGAGGATTAAGAAAACGAGAGAGAAATCAAAAAGAGTGCTAAAGAGACGATGATAAGAGTGATCTGATTGGTGGAAAAGAAAACACACGGATCGTGAATTGGAATGTGTGCGATGATAGGCCGTTAGATGACATGCAAATCAATGGCTGATATTTAATATAAGACGGTGACACGGATCATGGGATAATGGATTTGGATAGTATGTTTTTTTTTATTCATAGCTACGTACTAATAAAAACACTACTGTACTCTTAACTTTATGTAACTTATAAATTGTAAGAAACACAAATGTTTGGAAATTGGAATTGATTCAATATGACATATTTAATGTATATTAGTTATATGTATATCAGTATATGTAATAAATAATAATGTATGGTACGATTGGTATCATACTATCATTGGTATGTATAGATAATCGATAAATGTATCTGATTATTAAAACTTAAAACAGTTGATGATCGATCTAATTGAATACTTCTACTTCCCCACCCGTTTTCTTTAACTTGCAAGTTGCAACATATATATGTTGCAGCCTTGTAGGCATGTAATCTTAAAAGGTGATTAGAGAGGGTAAGACAACAAAGTAATTCAGCAATATAACTTTAACACCAAAATTATGGAATAGTTACAAACAATTGTCAATTATTATTTTATTAGACTAATGGGAAATTGAATAATCGTGATTTTAATTAAACATCCAAATATAGTTCTGTAACATTAAATCATTAGTTTATTACAATATCAATTATCGATTTATCGTATTCAAAGTACCAATTCATCAAATCATGGTTATGACGCGATCTTTAAAACAATTAAAACAAGAAGCTGATAGCCTGATAATATTTGATAATGAAACAATAATACATTAATACCTTATAAATTTGTAATAGACTAATATTTAATAAACAACAACAAGACTATAACCAAATTTGAAACATAACACATTAACATGATATAGAATGAATGAGAATTTCTGTAATTCTATATAATCTGATATCTGAATCGATTTATCGTATTCAAAGTAGCAACTCATCAAAACATGGTCATGACACGATATCTAAAACAATCCAACAAGAAGCTGATAACCTAATAATATATATTTAATAATGAAACAATAATACATTAATACATTATAAATTTGTAATAGACTAATATGATAATATCGAATAAACAACAACAAGAGTATAACCAAACTTGAAAAATAACATATTAACATGATATAGAATAATTGAATAAATGAAGATTTGTGTAATTGTATATAATCCGATGTCTGAAAATAAAGTGACGAAGTCCCAACTTTATATAAAACGAAAATAGCTAACCGGTCAAAAATCTCTTAAAACTCAATTTCTACTCGATCCATTATTTTTTTCACCAACCTATGCCGACCCGCTAATGAAATGGAAATATTAGTCCCAACTTGATATAAAACAAAATGCGCTAACTGGTCAAAACCACTTTTTAGAACTCGATTTCAACCCGATCCAATTAACCGATTACCAAACTAACCCAAACGATTTTAGCACCAAACCGAGTATAAACCGAACCGATATGAATCGAACTAGCATTAACTCGGGTAAACCCGCCCTTGAACCGACCCATTTCAAAATAATCCGTTCATGTCCCGAACCGATATGAACCCGGACCGACGTTGACCCGGTAAAACCGCCCCTGAACCGATCCGTTTCAAACCGGTCAGATCATGACCCGAACCGTTTATAAACCGAAGGGGCATTGACCCGGGTAAACCCGCCCCTGAACCGACCTGTTTCAAACCGACCCGATTATTAACCGAACCGTTTTCAAACTGAGGTCAAACCGAACTGCCAGACCGATGTCCCACCCCTACTAGAGAGCTTTTTCTTTTAAAACACTTGCTTGTTTTGAGTTTTGACCTGATGACCTCTTCCGGCTTTACCTTGTTTGTGAAAAATATTTCTATCGATTTGTACTGTACTGTCACGGCTCCATAGCATAGTTCGCATGATTTTTCCGCCATCAGACATGCATGTTCGTTAAAGCAACAAATTATTCTAGCGTAGAGCCTGACAAAAACTCGTTTTACTAAATATTTTGAAGAGTTTCTTTTATGATAAATTTTCTAAATATTGCACAACTCTTAGGAATCGTGTTAACAATTTTCGCTCCAAAGAGATCGAAATAGTTCCATCCACACGTAGCAACGTTACAAGACATGCAAAAATTGTTGTTTCATTATTCCAACACCAATTTTCACCCTTAATTAGTTACTGTAATTCAATAATGACTCTTCAACCTAATTTCGAATTTGTGTAGCAAATTCATGATACACTATAATGAAATGATGAAGACATTTAACTGATAATATACATTTAGGGAGCTATGATGTTAATTTGTTTTCTATTGGTTGTACGGAGTATCATCTGAAACATGCTACTAATTGTTTTACTGCCAATCAGACAAACATAGAGATCATAATTAATTATGCTAATAAGTTTTTGTAACCGCCTATAATTCTTCTCTTGTATCCTTTCTACATTACATATATATACACCATGTACATAAAAACGTATCAATAATCTTATTGCACTGCCTCAGGTCCAAAACTCGCGAAATGGTTATGTATGTTCCAATCTTATACTTATCAGGAGGAACATGTACAATGCTTGTTATCACTGGTGGTCCAACATTGAAACTCTTGTACGAATTGATTTGTTCCGAAAGCTCTAATTGTCCAAAAATTTTAAGCACAAATGAATGGTTCTTAATATTTGTTTGTTTGGCATTTTTACTAGCGCAACACCCTAACTTAAAGGAACTATTGCTTCCATAGTACTAATCTCCCTTCTATGGATTATATCCATTGCCAAAGGCAGAGTTGAAAACGTGTCATATAATCCCATATTTGAAGAATTGGAAGATAATTTGAGTGTATTTTTAAGCACTTTTTTTTGCAATGTAGATGATTGCTCTTTCGTTTCGAGGTCATAACCTTGTCCTTGAGATTCAGGTAGATATAACAAGCTCTTAATCTTACTTATTTACATCTCATAATCTTACTAAACATTAGTTTTATGCAGGGGACATTGCCTACAAACTCGAAATTTCCACCTCATATAACAACGTGGAAAGCAGTAAAAAATCTCTTATTGTATGATGTTTTTGTGTCTTCCCACTAGCCATTGTTGGATATTGGGCTTATGGAAACAAGATAACAAGGACAGGGATCATATACACATTGGGAGCATTTCACAAAGATAGCGCGTCAACAACAATGCTAGGATTGATTCTAGTGTTTGTATTAGCACACCAGCTATGCGCGTACCAAATATATGCCATGGCAAGCTTTGACAACATAGAGTTTCGATATGTCCTAGCGAAGAACAGGCCATGTCCCTCTTGGCTCCGGAGTGCATTTAGGTTTTTATATTGTTTCGCCGGGAACTTGTCTTTAGCAATAACATTCCCCTTCTTACCAAGCCTAGGATCGATTGTAGGAGCAATTGGCCTGCTTGTAACATTTTCTTACCCTTGTTTCATGTATGTTTGTATTAAGAAACCCAAGGTTTGGGGGCCTATGTTTTTGCTTAATTTGGGACTTGGTTGTTTAGGTGTAGTGTTGAGTAACTTATACGGAGTACTTCATTATTGTAGCAATATGGGAAATTTCTAGGGAAGGCCTAACTGCCAATTTTTTCAATGTAAAATGGTAAAACATTATTGTAGCAGAAATTCTAGTAATTACAAAAGACTTGTTCACTTCAACGTAATATCAGTTCAATTTTTAGCTCCAATCAGTTCAGTTCAGTTCAGCTCACTTCAGTAAATGAACAGGCCCTAACTAATATTCCTTTTTTTTTGCTGTTTAGAGAGACTCAAGGACAGTTGGGCAGGTGATGAGAGTCGATGCACATGATCTCTAACAATCAGAAAGGAAACTCTAATTACTTAACTTATCCTTCACTCTCCCATTTGATATGTGGTTGTAGTAGTGTACTAGTGTTAAAAAAAATTGAATTTGTCCATTAGTGCGTCATTTGAACAGAAGTTTAGAGTTTTGGTTTCCACTAAACTTCTGTTCAAAAAACCTGATCTTTTCATCTATTTATGGAAACCCCTTTTTTTAGCAATAACACAGTACCTCCATTTTGTACTCCGTATATTTGTTTGAGATAGGCGTCCTTAATACATACAAGTACATCTCTATGTTACTATTGTGTGAGAATGTGACATCATAAAATAAATAGAAGGCTCTAGTTTCCATTTTTATATATGTAACACATGTGAATTAGAATTAATGAGTCAATTGATTTTGACAGCTAATTATAAGCTAGCTAAGTATTTACTTCTATAAATACATTCATTTGGTATGCAAAACAAAGGAAACTAAATCAAACATATTAGCAAAAAAAAATGAGTACTAGTAATAGAATTATTCCAATTCATAGATTGGAAGAATTCCAAAATAATGGTGATTTCAATTCCGAAAACAACAATTTATCAATGGAATTTGAAGAGGATAGTAATCCAATTGAGGCATGGCTTCCTATCACAGAATCGAGGAATGGTAACATATGGTCGTGTGTGTTCCATTTAGTATCATCAGGACTTGGAATGCAAGCTCTTATGCTCCCCGTTGCTTTTGCTACTCTTGAATGGTATGATTTATTTCCCCTTCTCATAAGTTTGTCATCGTCTAGAATTTATTGTCACGTTTGTGGACTAATTTAAAGTAACTATGAATATCACAACTAATTTGATACGTATACATGCAATTAATTTATTTTCCCATTTCACTAATTTGTTGCTTAATTAATTGTGAACCATAAACACATTATTCATTTTTTCTTACAAAGAAATACTCCTTAGAGCACCCACAATGGGGTATATGATCCTCATCCTTTTTATGTTTTTTGTGAAGTTAGAGGATGAGGATTGTTGTAAAACCTTTTAAGAGGATCCTCAATTAAAGAGGATGATGGTGGATCCTCTATAGATGGAGGATGAAGGTGCATTGGTTCAAGAGCCAAGTTTTGGGTGGAATTGTGGGGTGGGTGACACGTGAGGAGAGATAAGGGATTTTTTTTTTTTAAAAAAAAACATAAACATGCACCTATAATTATTTGACACTTGGCAATGCTATTTTTGTAAAAAGTAGGAGAGAAAAGAGGAGGATGAGAAAGAGGATCTTTAATTGATGTGGGGAAAATAGAGGATGAAAAATAGTTAAAAGGATGAAGTTAGTGGAAAGTGGGGTATATGAAAGAGAAAATGAGGTGTCAAAACAAAAAGAAAAGATAGAGTATATTAGAGGATGAGGATTGGGATGTTATTGCCCATGCTCTTAGTCCTTAACAATGTACGGAGTATTATGCTTGTACAACCGTACTACGGAATAGAAGCAATTTCATTGGTCATTTACTTTTTTTTTTTTTTTTTTTTTTTTTTGAGTACTTCCTAAAAAAAAAGAAAAGAAATACGTAACATTTGTTGTACTATACGTCTGTACTACTCTCACTCTATATACTATTATATTGGTATTTGTAATACTGTATGTATTACATATTGCTCCGTATAAAAAATTGCTCAACTAAGGGTCTGTTCTCATACGTTGAAATTCAGTTCAGTTCAGCTCCTATTTTCCTTCTCTTATAAAATATTCATATCAGTTCAGTTCAGCTCTTAATTTCCTTCTCTTATAAAATATTCATTTCAGTTTAGTTTAGTTTAGGGCCTATTTCGATTGATTGAACTCAGCTGAAATGAACTGAACTGAACTTATTAATTAGTGATTTTTAACTACGAATTAGTAATCTTTGATTATTTATTACTATACATATGTGTATATACAAATGTACATATTATTAATAATATTATTATTATTATTGTTATTATTATTATTAATTATTATTATTATTATTATTATTATTATTTATTGATTATTATTATTATTATTATTATTATTATTGTTATTGTTATTATTATTATTTATTGATGATTATTATTATTTATTGGTTATTATTATTTCAATTATTATTGTTATTATTATTTATTGATGATTATTATTATTATTTATTACTTATTTATTATTATTATTGTTGTTAATATTATTATTATTATTATTGTTGTTATTGTTATTATTATTATTATTATTATTATTATCATTATTGTTGTTATTGTCGTTGTAATAAGAGTTTAAAAGAATGAAATTTGGCTTTATATCATTAGCAATATCATTAGACGTAAATTAAAAGCTGAACTGAACTGAACTAAATTGAATTTCAACGAAAAAGAACATGCCCTTAGTTTAGCTGAATTCAATCAATGAGAACATATGCCCTAATTCTTCTAATAATGCAACTTAACACTTGTTGTCTTCTGACTCATAATTCCATAATTAAAAATTCAAAGCACATTGTTTTCCATTTTTGTACTCCATAATGACTACCGACGTATCAAAGAAATCATGACTTGATAAGTCCTAGACTCCTAGCGTCACCATCGTTACATCATTCAAATCATCATCATCACCAGAAGGCCAGGTTCCAAGAATAAATAAATTATTACTTATTTGTTAGGTTCTATTTTACTTGACTTATTTCATCTACCACACTTATCAACACGTAATTCCAACATTAATGTCTTAAAATCTTGATGAGTAAAAATTAGATATTGGTATACTATTTACTTAGATATTTTTTTTTAAAAAAAGTGATGCTAAAATTATGCTTTATCTTATATATAAATCACAAAAGATAGTTAAATAAGTGAAAATGAATAGTGCAAAAGTCACAATAATTCAAGTATAAAACGGCAAAGAAAATATAAATTAATAAAAAGAAAAATGAACAAAATTGATGCTAAAATTTCCCACCACATACTTTCATCGAATCAAGTTGGCATTTTTAGTTTGTCAGTATTAATAGAACAAGATATCCTAAAATGACATTAATTAATAGTATCAAGCTACCAACTAGAAAATTTAATTACCACTTTCATTTATTTATTTATTCTACTTTAAGATATGATTTTAAGAGTGTATATATATTAAGAGAATATAATGATTTTTTTAGAGAATATGATAGGTTTTTTTTTTTTTTTTTCATTCATTCATTTTAAAACACACTTAAAATTAGTCAAATTTTATGAGTAGAAAGAGAATAATTATTTATAGTGGACGAGATTGGCAAGCCCCATGAATAAATGAGAATATGGCCCTTTATTAAAAGGATGGACGGACCATGTAAATTCGTCTACTATCAACAAGTTTTGGTTTAGTGAAAAGTTTTACATTTCACGACCATGAAAGTGTGAAATCATAACTTAAGTCGTGTTGACTTATAAAAAGCTTAAACCTTTTTACTAATAAAAAAATATAAAAATAATAATAAATATTTATTTATTTATTTATTTATTTTAAAAAAGGGGACAATGTAGGTCCGTCAAATATTGGTTATTAGTCTATCAGCAACCTTATATTTCGGCATACTACCATAAATCCATTATATAAAGCAACCATGCCAACCAAGAAAGAAGATATAAAAAAAAATAGGAAGAATTTTCCTCTAAAATAAACAAATACTAGTAAAATAGTAAGAAAAAACAATGGAAATTCCAAAATGGCATACAACATTAGAGCAACTAATGCAAGAAGAAATAGAAAGAGATAGACAAAGTGTAAAGTCGTCGTCAAGATCAATAGATATTTTTCCTATCTCCATAATTAATTATGAGAGTAGTAGTAGGAGCATTAGGATTAATCCCGTGGAAGACGACGACGACGAACTCGATTTCGATGATCATAATAGGTTACATGACAACATAGTTTTCGTGTCGGGAAGAAAGGAATTGGTAGGAGAAGTAAGTAAAAATCCGGAAGCAGAAGCATGGCTTCCTATAACAGAATCAAGAAATGGAAATTTGTGTTTTTGCATCTTTCATTTGCTTTCTTCTGGCCTTGGACTTCAGTCTCTTGCTCTTCCTGTGGCTTTTACTACTCTTGGATGGTAATTACTAACTTTATATACTTCATTTTCTTTTTCTTTACCAAAATTACGAGTATGAAAAATATTTGTCTGAAATAAGTCGAAATAAGTTGAGCATAAGCATAGCATAACATTGTACTCAATTACTCATATATAGTTGGTTGTGTTTTTGCATCATTGCATGTTACACAAATTATGGCTTGAAATGGGCATGCAATTTGATGGTATATGGTGTGTACCATCACCTAATTAGATCCGTCCTAACATGATAATTACTACCTTTGTTTTATATTATTTGCAACGGATAGACATTTTTTACTCACACTTTATATCAAATCGTTAAAATAATATAAAATAGAGGTAGTAATTTTTTTTAAAAAAAAATAATAGAGGAATAATCGTCTCTTGGAATTGTTTCTACTGGGTTAGATACGAGTCTTTTCGTTTGCTTTACACTTTTTCATTGAAATATTAGTTATTTGATGGTTAGTGGCTGATTAAATATATTCCTAAAGTTTAAGCATTAGAAACATCCCTAACTTTACTTTTAATTTAAGTCTATTATTATGGGTATGGAATTTTGATCGATTAAACATTGAAAAACAAATTAAGCTTTTTGACACATTCAATTTCAGAGATACTATTTATAAATGCGTAAACAGTACAAGTTCATGGTATTTGGAATTTGGTTTCCTGTTTGACAAGAGCAGAGAAATCCTCGCCTGTTACCGTGTTACGATCTATTGAGTAATAACTTGCCTTTGGTTTACATTAATATTTGACCCAAAGTCAACCATAGTTTCCTCAATAGAATTACATGCACTTTTACCAGCGACCAAATTTATTGATCCATGCACATATTTCTACGGTTCTACCCTTACCAAATTAATGCAATGAAGTCATCCAATGAGTATGTCACATGAAAAAACCAAATGCCTGTAAATAAAAAATTTATATATCCAGGCAGTCAAAGTAAACATAACGTAATTAATAGAGTATCTAAATCGATCATGGGTTTCAACCAATAATTTAAGATTTTGGTTGAAATAATCCTTTAATATGGTATCGGAGCAAGTGTGACACAAGATCAATAGTTCGAATCTTATAAGAGAAATTATTTTTTTTGACAATTTTTTCTAAATTAATTTGTCTTCAGGGCTTGGGGAATCACATGGTTGTCAATTGCATTCATATGGCAACTTTACACCATATGGCTTCTTACCCAACTGCATGAATCCCCATCCGGCTTTCGCTATAGCCGATACCTCCAATTGGCTATGGCCGCATTTGGTTAGTTCATTCCTCATTTCCCCGTTATCATATTCCCTCCGTCTTTAAATAATATACCACATTTCTATTTTATATCGTAATAGTATAAAGTAATAGTTGATATGATGGAGAGTAATTTATAACTAAATTTTGTTTTTATTATTTTGTATGTGAATGAAGGTCCTAAGCTGGGGAAATTGCTAGCTCTATTACCAGTAATGTACCTGTCAGGAGGAACATGTGTTACACTTCTTATAACTGGTGGTGGCACAATGCAACATTTATATCACATATTATGTGAAAATGACAATATTTGTCATGCAAAATCACTAACTACTGTAGAATGGTACATGGTATTCATATGTTTGGCCATTGTTATAGCCCAACTTCCTAACTTGAACTCAGTGGCTTGGGTGTCACTAGTTAGCGCGATTTCAGCTGTAGTTTACTGCACTATTATCTGGATCATGTCTATCAGCAATGGTAGACCTTCAGGAACAAAATACAGCCTTTCTGCAAGGGGTTTGGAATCGGAAATGAAATCATTTACAAATGTTCTTTCTGCTCTTGGGATTATTGCCTTTTCTTTCAGAGGTCATAATCTTGTGCTTGAGATTCAGGTATGAATTGTGAGCAATATGTCCTGGTTTTTATATTTCAATAATATTAATGTTACTGTTTCTTAGACTCATTACTTCATTAGTCATCTGTCCTTAAATAATAGGACACGTGTATATATATATATATATATATATATATATATATATATATATATATATATATATATATATATATATATATATATATATATATATATATATATACTTTACAAGTCCGTATTGTACTTATTATCTATCTAACTTCCATTAAGTCAATATGCATACTTTATATTACTCCGTACTTCCACTATAATAAACTCATGATGAAGTTTACAAATTAATGTAACGATTGTGATGTTTCAGGGAACACTTCCACCAAGTTTAAAAGATCCAACCCACAAAATAATGTGGAAAGGAGTGAAAATAACATATGCATTGATAGCATTGTGTCTTTTTCCCTTAGCAATTGGTGGATATTGGGCATATGGAACCTTGGTAATTAACTATGCACTTGTTAACTTTACTAAAAATTTAAATTTTCTCAAAAAAAAAATAAAAAACAATGTTTTAATAGCATATTTGTATTTCAGATGCCAAATACAGGGATGTTGAAAGCATTTGCACAATTTCATGGAAATCACAGCTCAAGGTTGAAGCTAGCCTTAATATACTTCTTCCTCATCATAAACAGCTTGTGTTCATTTCAAGTTTACGCGATGCCAGTTTTTGACAACTTTGAGTTACGCTATGTGAGCATACAGAAAAAGCCCTGCACCTGGTGGATAAGAGCAGGGTTAAGGGTATTTTTCGGAGGGCTGGTTTTTTTCATAGCAGTTGCTGTTCCTTTCTTGCCCGTCCTAGCACCACTAATCGGAGGGATTGCACTGCCAGTTACCTTTGCCTACCCGTGTTTCATGTGGATTATTATCAAGAAACCAAGTAAATTCAGCACAATGTGGTTTCTTAACTTGGTTCTAGGCAGTTTAGGCATTCTGTTAAGCGTATTATTAATCGTTGCAGCTATATATAATCTTGTAACCAAGGGCCTTTCTGCCAATTTTTTCCATCCTAAACCATAATAGTCAAAGAGAAATTGTAACATACATTTAACTTTGATTAAAATTTTCTATCAAAATCTTTCATAGTTGAATGATGTAGTACTGTATTATATAGAACTTAGTACTGAAACTATTATAAACAAGAAAGATCTAGGAACTTGAAGCATTGTATCCTCCTTTCAAGGTCATTTTTACATACCCAGTATGTCCTGTATTCTCAATCTCAAGGCCACACCAAATCAGCAGCAGGCACATGGGTTAACTTAATACGCTGCAGACTCGCCAAACCGACCATTCAAGCTTAACTTTGGTCGATGGACCGACATTTTAGCAGATTCATCCCCTCTCACAAAACATCAGGCAAACAATGCAAAAAAATATTCACTACTTGGATTTTGCACAAAAATAAATGCAGAAATTTTAATTACTTAATTTGTAAGATCAAGTGCCAAGCTAAGTAGTTTAACTTGTCATCAGGTGATCCTCTTCTTCTATAAAAGGCCAACCAATTACAAAGTATAATCACCAACAAAAAAAATTACATTCATCTCAAAAGAAAAAATCCCAAGTATAATCTCTATTACAACTGCATAATAAGCTTAGAATAACTTTGTTTCGGGTTTATTATTACCAACCAGCAGTATGTCAGACCAATTTGAAAATGAGACCACTGAGGTCAATGCTAAGGATCGCGGTCTCTTTGATTGCTTTGGAAAGAAGGAAGAGAACCCAAAAGAGAAGGTAGACAAGGCAGAGGAAGAAAAGGTCTATCTAAACAGTAGCAGCTCTAGCTCGGTAAGAACTTTACTATGTTGGAAATAAATTTTCATTATGCAAAGATTCATTTTAACAGAATGATCTAACTGTTCTTATTTGTAACATGGAATCTTATAGTCGGAGGAAGAAGTGGAGGAAGATGGAGTGAAAATAAAGAGGAAGAAGAAGAAGAAGGGCCTAACAGACAAGATCAAGGAAAAGCTACCAGGTCACAAAGATGAAGCTGCTGCCATTCCAGTAAGTGATTACGATAACCATCATCAGCCTACAACTGTAACTGCAGAGGCAACACACCCGGAGGAAAAGAAGGGTTTTCTTGAAATGATCAAAGAGAAGTTGCCGGGGCATCACAAGGATGACGCTGTTGCAGCTGCACCAGCTTCTGCGGCTTCTCAACCTCCAGTTGTGGCTCACTGTGGGTCTGATGGGCAATGTGGGGGGTCACATGAAGCCCAGGAGAAGAAAGGATTCTTAGAGAAGATCAAAGATAAGCTTCCCGGTGGACATAAGGATAGCGAAGAAGTCAAGAAAGACCATTAGTTGATCATCCTCTTGGTACTTTGCTGGTACTAATGTATTATTGTTATGTCCTAGTGTCAGTTAAGTGTTAAGCTTTAGTATTCTGCAATTTCAATATTTTCCCAGCTTTGTGTAATTTGGTTTCACTGTTTTATATCGTTAGGTCTTTCTTTTGAATTCCAGCTTCAGCCATTGTATTTTCCCCTTGCAAACCCTGTATTCTCTGAGTTTTTCAATGCTTGAGATTATGATTTTACTTATTTCCATTTTCTAAGGTGTGTATAAAATTTGGCAAAAACTCTCACATCAAACATCAAATAACCTGATGCACCGTGTTGTATCTTTAAGAATCAGATATGAGTGGACTCTTAGACACTTATTTTGGACCAAAAACATACGTAGTAATGTAGTATGATGCACTTCATATTATGAAATGTTCTAAAACATGCAGAACGCAATTTTGCCAACAACACAAAATTTGGAGGTTCTGATGCTAGAATTTCCATGTCCATAAGAGAAACTTGGGGAAGAGGCGGTATACCAGGTCCTGTAGTAACCAAACCTAAATAAACTCCTAGGAAAACATTTAACCACTTAAAGGTACTACAACAAATTTGATTGAAGAAAAGGAATTCCCACCTTAGTAATAGTAGCAGAATCTGAATAATTTAGCTCATTTCAAAATAGACCGGTTTGTTGAGCTTTGAAATTATGTAGCAACCATTGGATTCCAAAAGCAGGTCTCTGAGGCTCTGGAACAAAACAGAATGAGATTGAAGACGAGTCTGATCGTTCAAATCCATGGTTTCCTCCAAAACCTTATAAACAAAGCAATTGTTCAGCCAGTATGGACTGCATGACTGCTACTCAAATCTTTTTTCTTAGGAGGGGCAACAACCTGATGTTCCCTTTCTATACTTTGAGAGTGGCAGATCTGGACACGGCTAGGACAGGCCGTGGCCAACTTATCAGTCCCATTTTGGCCAGGGGCATCAGTCATCAAGCCTGGCTGCCATTGAGCCAACCCAAACCCGAAAAAATGAACTGGCCAAATCAGGTAGAAAACAAAACCAGCCAAAAAATTCTGCTCAAATAAGGCCAGGCCATACTGAAAACTCTACTTGCATAAGAAGTATACTGATGCTCATCTACAAAAAGATGCAACTAAAATATCTCAAGGATCCAATGATCCAAATACTCAATCCAATAGGCAATAACATATGCTTTCAGCAATGTCATATAATTCCTTGAAAACAAAGCTTTGTTTAAGTACAATCCCAAAACCAACAACAAAAAAAAGTTAGTATATACTTTCTCTTCCTAAGCTACAAACCAAATGATCAGCAAACTTTGAGCTTAGTTAATCATATAAATGATGGCTTTTGCCAACATTAAATCTAGTCTTAATTCCTGATCTGCTGTTAATGTTTTCATAACTATAGGCTCGAACTAACATTCACTCATTGAAAACACAGGAATGTAACAGATTCTTGGGTTTGCCAAGACGGGTGCTATCTAACGTGACAGGGCATCTGATATGCTTATAGAACTTGGACTTAACCAGTCTCCCTAGAATGTAAGCCCTTGATCGCAGAGTAAATGTTAAATTCAACCCGACATTCACTTTTTTGTCATGCAAGTTGTTACCTTTCATTGCATCGGATACAACTGACATTCCACCATAGAGAGGGATCTGATGTCCATGCACAACTGTAGTTATGTTGGAATGACTCTTCCTTTTCTGGTAGAACTTCTTCATCTAAAAAATTCATATTCAGTTTAGCATCAATTCAACAACTAAACAAAAGCAAGTCAAGAATACCTCCCACAACATCAATCCGAAATTAAATTAATCACAAAAGTATATTGTTCCAAGGAAATCAACATAGATGTATCACCATTAGGCCTTCTTAAATTTTTTCCTTGGGAAGTATACTAAAATTTTATCAATACTCAATTTCCCATTTACAAGGGCATACACTACAAAAATGATAGTATTACCTCGAAACACATAAATATAGACTCAATCTTCAAGGTTTGTCTAAGAATATGAAGGATGTTCACATGTATATTATTTAATACATCCTCATCAAAAATCAGCCTTCCTTAGCTGTGAAACTTGAGTTACAACTATGGACGATTTTACAGTAGTCGTTTGAAAAATGACTATCGTATTATAAACTTTATAATCATGAAAACATTATGGTAGTCATATTTCAAATGACTACTGTAAAATTTTCATACAACTATGGAAACAAAACCGGTGCAATTTCGAAATTTTTTTACACTACTGAAGAAGTCCAAGGTCACAGTCTCACAGCTAATAGTGAAGAAGCTTGCTTCAAAATTGAAGAAACATGCAACCATACCCAATTACTCATAACCAAGCCATCACATTAAACATGACATTGACATATATCTATACAACACAAGGCCCTAGTATCTATACAATTAGACTATTAAATTGCAATTAATTCCTTAACCCTATGGATCACAAAAGTCAAACAATAAGCCAACAAGCATATTTAGGAAGTAATGCTTATGCATAGGGCAACTAATCAATACATTCAAACATGTGATAAAGATACTAGAATACTTGGTATGTTCACATCGACGCAATGGCTAATATGTTAGTCACCTAACGAGTACTCGTGAATGAGGACAAATACCTGACCAGAAGCAACTTTGAGTTGATAGTAGTAGAGTTCAAAAGGGGTGGAAGTGACGTGGACTCCAAAAAATGTGGCGGGATTCTTGTAAGAAATCCTGACCGTCGAATTAAGAGACAGCATATCTGTCGGAACTCCTGTGCCGTCCATTCCTGCTTGTATTGTGTAATCCAGGAACACCATGTTCTACATTATTTCAAACAGAATTAATAAATAATTCATTAGTCTTCAAATTTTGAGTATTTTACCAAAAAAACATTCTTTCAAAAAATGATTTTTAAAAAATGTTTCCGTTTAATCCATGACATGAGCATGTGGGAAAAAGAGTCAAACCCATGAGGTCATGTGGTGGGCCTAATAAGTGCGAGTTCTCATAGGACGAGACACCGAGTTAACTCAGTGAACTCGAACCTAAAAAAAAAGAACTCGGTTGTTGTATTCTGACTAAAACAAATTAAAAGAGCCCAACTTTAAACGAAAGTGATCAGTGTCCTGCAACTGGTGGGTGCTAGTGTGCTACTACGTCTGTAACTTCCCTTAAAGCAATGAAATTATATGCGGAAATGACTAGTTTAACCCTCAATAATCCTTCCAAACAAAATCATCACAATAGCTCACGAGTTGACTCAGTGAGTCTCACATGTTTGACTTAGTCAACCCCCTCATCATACTAACCAAAAAAAATAACCACAAAATATGGAAAAAAAAAAAAAAAAAGAAAATTAATTCAAATTCCCAAGGTTTCACTTTTCAGAACTACCCATGCTCCTACGATAGACTTTAGGTGTCTTGCCAATGTCACATTTAATTCATCCATTTTTGCAGTAGTTCCATTTCATATTATAACTTCCGTTAATGTCACATTTAATTCATCCATTTTTGCAGTAGTTCCATTTCATATTATAACTTCCGCAACAAAGGAATATTTGGTAGTTGATAGTCTTGATACATTTTTATTTATTTCTCTATGTATGAAAATTTTAATTGATACATTTTATAATGAAATGTGATTTTATTAGAATCATTTTACACGTACTCACTGATTTTTTATAAAAAGATACAATAATTTACGTGTGATTCATTAAATCAAAACCAAATTAGAAAATTTGCTTATTTGTTTTGTTCAACTTATATAATTAAAAGAGAAATATTCAACTAAAAAAAAGGAGAAGTACATTCAATATGTACAAGACCCATTGCAATTTGCAAAATAAAAAAACATTAGGTTAATGAAACCATCGAGTTGACTCAGTGAGTCATCCGAGTCAAAATCAAGAAAACAGGGGATATGCAGAAACAGAGGAATTTAGAAAGAAAGACTGACCTTGACGAGAATATGAGGGTGAAAAGACTTAGCAGCCCCCCAAAGAATCAAAGAAAACACACTAAACAACCCAATAAACGAAACCATAAAACACCCCACATAAAACCTCCAACTGGGCCCACCATCCTCCTCATCTTCCTCCTCCTCACAATCTCTCTCCTCATCGCCGGCGCCGCCGTAATCCAACCGGAGTCCGCCGTAAATCCGGCGCCACCCACTTCCGGCACGGCGGTGATAATGCTGTTTAAGGGAAGTAGAAGAGAACAGTCTAGAAGTAGAAGATTCTCGAGAATGGTGAATTGGAGAACAATGGTAGTTTCTTGTAGGAGAAGTAGGGGGGCTTAGTGTTGCGTAAGATAGTTTGTCGAGGTCTTGTTGTGAATAAGATGGACTTTCAACGTAGTAGACTGCTCTTCTTGAGGGTGATCTTGGTGGGCTTACTGTTGCCATGCTTGTTACATCTGAATCTGTTTTCGCATGCATTTTTTTTAGAAATTATTTGGTGGGTTTTTGTTTGATAATTGTTGAAGATGATGCAAGAATGAAGGAAAATGGAAGAGAGGATTATAAATGTAAGAGAGAGAAGTGTGTTTTAACTGTTCCTAGATATAGGATGGTATTTGGGGGAACAATTATGGATGGTTTAATGCCTCTGCTACAATCTGCTTTTTATGTTATTATTTTTATTATTATATTATTAATTACTCGTATTATTTTACCCCTCTATCTCAAATTACTTGATTTTTACTTGTTTAAGATTTTATGCAAGTGAAATGAGTAAATGAAAAAAATGAGCAAGAGAGTTTGGAACTTAACTCGAGAAAAATAAAAAGGTTTCTATAAATGTAGATAGGACTAGAGGTGTTAAAACCCCGTTGGACCTGACTCAATTTGAAACTGATTTGAAAAATATTTGATTTAGATTTGGATCCGTATTAACTATTGACACATTAATTTAACATGACTCAAGTTTAAAAAGAGACCTGACTCAATCTTATCGAACATGATTCGAATATTTAAATCGACACCTTTAGATAGGATAAGTAAATTTGGTATTTTGGAGAAAAAAGAGACTATAGTAAAATAGGATGGATGATTAGGTGAATTGGACAATAGGAATTGAAGAGGGTGATTGGAGAGGGTAAATGGGGTGTTGTGATCAGAGTTCTTCTTTTATGTTAACAATGTCTGCTGGAATTTAGTAGCAGTTTTGGTTAAATGGTTTGGTGTTTGTTTGTATGTATGTAAATTTTGGTTTTGGTTGTTGCTCATTTTTGGCATTCTACGCGCTTTGTTTCTTACTAGTAGTAGTTAGTTTCCCTGTAAAACTAATGTCCGTGACAAATGACATTAACTAAACAAATAAAAAAACAATAAAAATGCAAAATCTTGAGAGCTGATTTGATGTTTTGATATCTTTAGTTACTGATTTGAGATCAATTCATTTGTTAAATATGAATTTTAATTCATACTTTAATTATATGGATCATGGAAATATGGAATCAAAGAATAATCTTCAATTTGAAGGAATTGTAGGTACCTAGAGATTATAAACTTATGTATAGTTCTAACTTAATAATGGATGTGATTTTGGATAGGATTTTGTACAGCAACAAACAGCTTTCTGTTTCCTTCTTCAAAATTTCAAATACATAGGTTCTTTTTATTTGCAAAATTAATCTCCGTGATAAACAATTTCATTCATTACGTATTGATTTTACTTAAAATCACTATTTCAAATAGCAGTTTACACTGTCTTACACGTTCATCACGAAGATAAACTTGTATGTTCTCATTTTAGGCTAGCTCCTTAGCTAGTAGTGATTGAATATTCATTAATGTATGAAAGCAATTTTGCATAAAAGTTTAATAGACTAGCTCTTGACAGTCTGGCACCATCTTTCTGATAAGCCTGGACCAAAAACTTGAATGCTGTGGCCCATGGATCAGGTGTGTTGGTGGACCACTGATAAGTAGTTTATTGGGGTTTGGGTTTCTGAGTTTGATGTACACTACTCATACTGGGCCCTATTAGTTTTGGGGGCCCAAATCGTACGGATTGAAGTCCTTCTTATATTAAGTTGGATTCGAGTGAGTATATATTGTACATAACAGTCCAAGTAAGTAACAGCAACTTTTGCTTTGATTTGGAGAGCAAAGAGAATTATTAATTGTCACAAATAAATGCAACATTGTACGTGCATTACCGTAGGCCCTTTGGGCTTTAATAGAAGTTTGACATTAAGTTTAGGCCCAGGATAGTTATATATACAGAGTACAATATACAAAGTACATATCATAATCGATTTTCTTCGACAAACTAAGTACCAAACAAAGGTGGCGAAGTGGTCAGGGAAGAGCACCCTTCCTTGACACAGGCAACAGAATGTGCACTTTATACGAAGTAGAGCTGTTAAATTGGTGTGCGAGTGAAAATCAGTTGAATTTTAAGGAACATTGAAATAAGTTCAGTTCAGTTTAGCTCAATAGATATAAACATGCCTTATATCCTAACCATCCCCCACTCCTTGATCCTAAAATATCAAATTCTATTTACTTTTGAATCAAAAAATGTAAGTTTGACTTGGGCGGGCCTATCTCGATTGGATAGACTTGCCATCAAGATCCCTTCGAAGATCATAATCCCCAAAAAAATCACTTAGAATAATTAAATATGAGAATTTGCAAATAGTTTCAATTTTATCAGATGTCACTTAAGAGACGAGAATTTGCAAATAGTTTATGAGCATGTCTATCAATAAGTTAATTAATTCATGAACTAATGTAGATTTTAGAACATTCAATTAAAAGGGAATGAGAGAAATACGTACTATGCACTTTATAACAAAAATTAATTAAATATAATGATCAAACAATCCTAGGGAAAATTTTTGTATACACCCGGTTTTCAGTAATTTACTGAACATCGGGTACACTTTTGTCATATTTAGTGTCACTTTTGTCATATTTAGTGTCACTTTTGTCAAATTTATCAATGCAGCATAAATAACTTTTATACATGTCAGGATAACTTTTGTGCGTTTTAGTGTAACTTTTGCACATTTTATTGTCACTTTATACCGGATGTTCAGTAATTTACCGAACATCCGTTTTATTTAAAAGTTTGTCCAATCCTAATTACAATACTTTGAGCATATATATTTATCTATACCTTAGGATTATTAACAAAGATGATTAAATATAACGCGTTAATAATAAGACGAATAATCAAAAGTTGTAAGTGAGTGAAGTGATTTCCAGTGGAGTGGAGAGAATGAAATGATGATAAAAATGGACAGGAAATGAGCTGGAAATTAATAAAAAGCAAAATAGACGCACATGAATACCGGGTATTACGACAATAATCACGGAAGCCCATTTAATTTACCAAACAATTAGAGGCTGACCGACCCACTTCACTATAGCCTCACTACACGGTTCCGCCCACAAAATTTACTGCATTTCTCCCATTTATTTTACTCATACTCTAAAATTCTATACCTTTTTTTTTTCTTTTTTTTTTTTACCCGATCTAATCTTACACAGGTCAATCTAATTCAGATTAGCAAGCAAGATATCTTAAGAAGGGAAAAAAGTTGGGAGAGTCCCGACTCCCAAAGTGCCCATTATTGAGTAATACCACTAGACTAATTATTACTTGACACATCTATCTGGTTGATGGATTCGGGTTGACAAGTAATATCCTATTTACAACTACGAGCACAATTTTATCCCACAACCTTTTGAATAACAACATCTACCAGGTCTAACCTGTTTAGACCTTTGTTTTTCATAAGCAATGCCACAAATGATTTCATGAGTACATAATTATAATTTATAAACCTTGTTATATTTAACTTTAACTTATTTTTCAAAGAAAATGTAAAATTCAATAACAAACTATAAGAGTACCAAGGTAGGGTCTGTTCACTTCAGCTTAATTTCAGCTCAGTCCAGTTCAATTCAGCTCTAATCAATTCAATTCAGTTCAGTTCAGTTCAACTCCTAATTTCTTTTCTCTCATAAAATATTCATTTCAGCTATATTTTGTTCAGTTAAGTTCAGCTCCACTACAATCAGTTCAGTTCAGTAAATGTGAACAGACTCGTACTCCATATTACATTTTGAGTGATTTATTACTTCGTATTATTATGATGGAACTGCTAGCTAAATTATCTACATTAGTAATTTAATCAGTCATTTAATTTATTCTCATAAAACACGTCTTATAATAAATATATATACAAAGTATGAATTTTCGACAATACTTTTGGTAAATGTATAGATTTTTTTTTTTATTAAAGATATAATTGAGTAATTGACTACATAGTTCATTTCATTTTCTTTTGAAATTATATTGAATAATAATATACTCTTGTATACACACATGTATACACTACATAGAAATAATAAATAAAATACAACTAAAACCCTCTTTCGGTTACCCGCCCTACCATACTACTCATCTCCATTTAAAACCCCTTCAATTCATTCTGTTTCCCATACCCCCTAACCCAAAACTACACACTTTATTATTGTTATTATTTTCTCTACACCTAAGGAAATAAAAATAAAACCACACTACACCACACCACAACCCATTAATTTTATTATGTTATAAATTTATAATATAAAGTTTCATGAAACATACATTCAATTCCTACACAACACAAATTAAACACCATTATTTTTGTAACAACATATAGTAGTAAATAACAATATGTCTCAAAATTATTGTTTGCTTTCCTGCATTGCTTTGATTTCTCTCTTATACTTTGCTGCTGCTGATAGTCCTTATAGGTTCTTCGATTGGCATGTCACCTATGGCCATGTCTATCCTCTCGGTGTTCGACAACGGGTTCGTTCGTCTCTTCCTTCCCTTTGGCCTCCACCTCTTGGCTGTTTTTAAAAAACCCAAGTCAAGGGATTTTTGTAAAACTCTTTCTTAAATATTCTACTGCTTTAATTCTCAATTATCAATTATTGTTGTTTTTAAGGGTGTGAATGTTAGAAAAATAACGTACATTATGATTTTATTGAAAGTAAAGATGATTTTTTGTAATAAGATAATTTAATTTGTTGAGATTTAAACTTTCATAATCTGTTCATTTATTCATTTATTTATTTATTTGATGATGATTTGGTTAATTAAAAAATGCAGGGGATACTAATCAACAAGCAATTCCCAGGTCCAGATATAATTTCAGTGACAAATGATAATCTTATTATCAACGTATTTAATCACTTGGATGAGCCCTTTCTCATTTCTTGGTTTGTAATTCTCTCTCTCGAATTTTTATTTAATTTGTCAAACCAGATTAATAATAATTTTATTATATTAGTGAAATTATAGTATGCTTCATACTAGCCAAAAAAATGTACGTGTATCGGTATATGTTATTATAAGGGTGCAATTCAATTGGCCTAGCTAACATGCCGTAATATAACATCTAATTGCCCAATTTAAAAGGTGTGGTTTTTTTAGTTGTTTGATCAAATAGTACCACTAAAAAGTTGTTGAACCAAGTTTACATCTTATAGAGAATTTTAAGGGGGCAAGCAATCCATATTGTTTGAAATGGTTAAATCAACTTCTATTGTAGTTTGTTCTTGGTCACGTAAATTTAATTTAAAAAAATTCTCAATTCAATGTAACTAGTTTTGGACATTCAGTTTATATTTGAAGATATTAGTTTTAAAATTTTCAGTTTTACATTGCTTACATCTTTATTGTGAATTTGAATTTGGTGTTGAATTTAATTTTAATTTTTGAATTTCAGATCTACATTATACTCATAATAATGGCATTCCTACATAATGGCATAAAACAATTTACTTAAGGTTATGATAATTGTTAGAAATATGAGATCTTAGACATTAGGAAAAAATATCACTAATGATATTATATACCAAATCAATCCTATTATAAATATGGAAATGTAATATATTTTCCTCATATCTAAGATATAATGTTTCTTTCTTAATAAATAAATACTTTATGCCAAAAAGTAACATTAATAATGTTAAACACCAATAATTAAAAGTAACTTTGTTATTCTTATGTGAGATGTTGAAATTTTGTCTATTAACCAATGTTTTAAAAAATTTGAACTTACTCCCTCTTGTTGACCAAAGAGGAAATCTAATTAAAGACAAAAGGAAATAACTAAAAGTAAGTCTTAAAATAAGTGAAGTACTCAATTTAGCTTTAAAATAAGGTCCTAGTTGTCCCCCAACAAAATTTCCGTCAATGGAAAAAACGTGAGTGGTATAATCATGAGTGCACTCAACTTGCATAAAGCAAGGCAGCTAAGCTACACTATTTCTTTTTCATCTAAAAAGCAATTTAAAGGGTAAATATTGTTATTGGAGACACATAAAGTTTATATGTAAAACTATATTGTTATATAAATTTATGAGTAATATACAAGTAGTATTTATTGATATTACCTTTTCTTCTATGTATTATTATAGGTAGGTCGATATAAAGTAAATAGGTGGCACAATTATATCAAGCATGAAATATATAGTTTCTACACAATTCGTATATAGCTACTAATGCTAATGTGCAACGTATATGATGATGTATAATTATTTTGTAAAGATTAATTGAAGAAGAAAATTAGAGGTAAAGAATCATTAATATGTTGTTTTATCATGTTAAGAACCTCCAAAAGCAATACAAAATTAAAAACGAAAAAATTGTTTTTTTGTAACCAATTAATCATCTAGGGTGAGAATAGTTTAGGCTGTTTATACTTCTTATTCATGTTCATACTCAATTTTTAAGTGTAATTTTGTTTGGTTATCTTGTAATTAATTATTAAAGCTTTGCTAATAATTCTAAGTCAATGCTTACTCTAATTTAGTGTTGTTATAAAATTATTTATACACCTAAAAGTTCATTCTTCATCTACACATAAGTTCATCTTCATCTACACGTAACATGTGTAAGAGAATTTTTGTGATACCAGCTTGAACTATATCCATTTTATTTTAATTAAAACAAAAACTTAATACTCATATATTTAAAAGGAAATATCCCAATGACATTTTAGCTGAGAAAATATTAGCCTCCTCTTAAATTACATTGTAATATTATATGACCTAAATATAATATGCAAAATAGAGAAAAATACTTAACTAGCAAAAAATAAAAATAAAAATAAAAAAATCATGATATGTGCATGAATATTATTTAACGGTGCGTGCACGTCAAAAAAAAATTGACAGTTTGAAACAAATTGCTTACCACCGCAAAGTTACTACAAACCTTAACCGCCAATCTTTATTATCAAGGAAGTTACTAGCTGAAACAAACTAGGTACGTGCAATCTCTGACTTCATGTATTAGCATAAAAGTCATGACTTCATGTAAATTAAACATTAATTAAATCAATTAACACAATTGTTAGTATGGTACAACCATACAAATATCCTTATTAGAGCAACTCCAATGGTAAGCTAATTGTGAAATTAGCTTGCCATGCCACCTAGGATTGCAAAGCTAATCTACCTTGTAGCTAATTAATCCCACAATGGTTAAGCTAATTTTCAATAATTTTTTTTATTTAATTAATTTTTTTTAATTCTCACAATTTGCTAAGCTAATTAGCTTAGCTAAGCAAATAGCTTTGCCTAGCTAATTTGGTAATGCAATTCCAATGGTTAAGCTAATTATTTATTAGTTTCATAAATTGCAAGCTAGTCCTAATTTTACACTGTTGGAGTTGCTCTTATTACGTTATTAACATCGATCCTATAGGAACATCTTTAATTCTTTATTATTGAATCGATCACATTATAAAGCTCATTCATAATATTCAATGGATTGAATGCACGAAAATAAGTTATTTTTACGGACATTTGATGATGTAGGGATGGGATCCAACAAAGGAAGAATTCATTTGAAGATGGAGTGTATGGAACTACATGTCCAATTCCTCCAGGACAGAATTTTACCTACAAATTACAAGTAAAAGATCAAATTGGAAGTTACTTCTACTTCCCTTCTACAGCCTTTCACAAGGCTGCTGGTGGGTTTGGAGGAATTAGGGTTCTTAGCAGGCCTCTCATTCCTGTTCCCTTCCCTCCCCCTGCTGACGACTTTACTGTTCTCATCGGTGATTGGTACAAAACTAACCACAAGGTATATTTATGACTCTACCATTCTCGATTATTTCTAAACATTTTTGCTTTTATTATTAGACCTCAATCTACGTATACAATTTAGTAGTGTTAAATTATTTAATTTAAACTGTCGTGCTATTAGTAATTTAGTAGCGTTAAATTATTTAATTTAAGCTATCGTGTTATTAGTTCTAAATGATTGTTATAGCAACATTTCGACTCCCAATGTGGAGAAAGTTGCTTGGATACATCAATTTAGGGGTAGCTACTAATGTACTATGATTGCAGAAATTGAAGACAATTTTGGACAATGGAAAGAGGCTTCACTTCCCTGATGGGGTTCATATCAATGGTCGACGTGCAAACGATGCAGTTTTCACAGTCGAAAAGGGTACAAAATGTTAACCAAACTGATTAATATGTCTTCATGTGTTATTTTAGGAAATATATTTAATGCTTATGCGCAACCCTTTTTACAAAAATTGGCAGGTAAGACATACAGGTTTCGGATATCAAATGTTGGTCTGCAAAACACACTCAACATTAGATTTCAAGATCATAAGATGAAGCTAGTAGAAGTGGAGGGGACTCACACCATGCAACAACTCTATTCATCATTGGATATTCATGTTGGTCAATCTTACTCCGTCTTGGTCACAGCAGATCAGGAGGTCAAAGACTACTACATCGCGGTATCAACCAGGTTCAATGATGTGATCCATACAACCACCGGGATCCTCCACTATCAAGGCTCCAACCACGCTGTATCCGGCCCTCCTCCTGGTGGACCCACCACCGAAATCGGTTGGTCCCTCGCACAAGCACGTACAATAAGGTAGTATAAACTAATGCATATCATTCTCATCTACAGAGTATTTTAGTGCTATGTAGTACGTACTTATAAACTTGGAATTTCTCTATTTTCTTTTATCTAGTCATAACTAATATATATGAAATCCTATGATTACTAGGACTAACCTAACAGCAAGTGGACCGAGGCCGAATCCACAAGGATCCTACCATTATGGAGAAATCCCATTGAGCAGAACAATCAGGCTAATGAGCTCTGCAGCTCAAGTGAATGAAAAACAAAGATATGCTGTCAATAGTGTTTCTTTTGTTCCAGCAGATACTCCCCTTAAGCTAGCAGACTACTTCAACATTCAAGGCGTGTTTCGTGCCGATAGCATACCTGATCACCCTACGGGAAAAAAAATGTACCTTGACACAGGAGTGATGGGCGCTGACTACAGAACATTTATAGAGATTGTATTTGAGAACAAAGAGAACATTGTTCAAACTTGGCACCTTGATGGCTACAACTTCTTCGTCGTTGGGTAAGCAAGTTTTTAAACCACCATTAACAAGTCTTTTTAAACAAATCAGGCTAAAAATGGCAACTTACAAGAAACAAAATTTTAACAGTTTTCTTGACTAGTATGTTATATATTTGCTCATTAGTAATAATTCATACCTTCTGTTTATGTATTTGAACCTCTTCTAACCTTGCCTGTGGTGACTCATATTGTTGAATGTATGGCAGGATGGATGGCGGAAAATGGTCAGCAGAGAAGCGCGGACAGTACAACCTACATGATGCAATATCGCGTTGCACAGTACAGGTAAGACAGTTAATGCCATTACGTTAAACAAAAACAATTCACCTTTGGGCATTTTTTAATGGTCCATTTTACTCTGTTGTAGGTATATCCAAGATCCTGGACCGCGGTGTATTTATCATTGGACAATGTTGGCATGTGGAATGTAAGGACTCAATTCTGGGCACGACAATACCTCGGAGAACAATTTTATTTGAGAGTTTATACGCCTACGCGTTCACTCAGGGACGAATACCAGATACCTGATAACGCCCTTCTCTGTGGTAGGGCTAGCAAGTGATCTGTTGTACTTGCCATGGAGATAAATTCATTGTGCATGATCTACCAGACAAGGGGCAAGAAGCGTGAATTGACCCCTTCTTGGGGTCTTAATTCTTTAACTCAAGGATTGAATTTGTTTTTAAGAAAAAATGGTAAACAACTTGAATGCCAAGTTAATGAAGGTGTTGTATTTATTCTTCTATTTCATTGCTCTTGAAACTTCAATCTGATCTTACAATTCTTCATAAAGTCCGTTTGTTTAGCGGTTATAAATTATGGAAATTGTAATAAATTTAAGTGTAATTTTGTAAGGAACTTCATGGTTATTAGTCTCATCACCATGTCAACAGAACTCCATCTTCAAACCTTTGTATTTTTTTCATAAATCTCCATATTAGATCTAATTATAGACTAGCACTACCCTGGGTATTGGCATGAGAATTTCTTCACAAACTTTGAATGATCACTATCTTTAGTCCTTACCAGTTACCACATACCAAATGAGGTGTTAAGTTTTGTTCAACATGTTCGAGAGTACACGGACAATGATTAATCCAAACCTGCTCCACCCCAAAGGGCAATAATCTAGCTAAATGATGAGCTATAATATTACTGTCACGTTTTACATGAGTCCCCAAAGATGTTAACTTAGCTTTAGCTTCTTTTCATACTTCGTATATATTCTGGCCATGTACTCTGTTAATGTACATTTATTTTTCTTATATTTTGATGCTGAAATCTATATCATTTGAGTTACTTTTTTGTTCAAATGAAAAAGTAACTTGATGATAAATCATTAGTTACTTTAAACTTCTTTGTATATTCTTTATGACTACGTAAACAATTTTGAATTTCATTCATGTTCGAGTTAGTACAGTTAGTTATAATCAGTCCGCAATGCAAGAACCGGGCCTAAAAGTAAGATCTTGAATGATCTTCACACTTTCATAGAAGTTTGAGCATCAAATTTGGCATTCACATTATAAAAGCCTCAAATGTCAACACTCTAGCTATGGTACACAGTAGAAGATTAAGTTAACAGCCTGATCCAATCATGAAACACAGTGTAACTACGACAAAATGAGGGGAGAGGGGGGTTCCAAAGAGGAGGAAGCTTTATTACTACAGGCACACCATATGCACACAGATTCTTGGAGAGCCTTGAAAGAAATGATCAGATTTGCATCTAGTAGTCAAGGAATAGATTACTCATACAGAGAATGTGCCGCAGTTATTGATAGTGTTCAATGCCAGTGTAATTCCACGGTTACAGCCTCCTTATCACACATCATTCTTCAACCTGTTCAGGACACAGAATTTGACATAGTCAGCAACAAAATATACAGGCATATGTAAGATGTCGAGTTTGCAACTTTGCAACAATGGTGCAAGTAGCTAAATAAAGTTTTTTGTAACCAAAAACAGAAAAACCAAATATTAAGTTTTGTGCTAATAATTTTTTACTGCAGTTACACACAATTGGTAACAATACCTAGTTCAGGCTAGCTGCTAGCTCTGCTTTTCAAGTATCCTGCATTTTCCCCCAATTCATGCCTTGTACAGCTTGAGCTTCTATTTTACCATCTACATAGAGCGAACCCTAAGGCAATCATCCTGCATCTTCACCCACTTAAAACACTCCCTACCCATCAAACGCAAACTGTCATTTTGCCTCTCACTTACACTATGTTTAGATAGAGAGAAATGGAGGGAAAGGAAGAGGAGAAAAGGAAGGATGCATCATTCTTAATTTTTAAATCTGAGGGAAGGGGAAGGATCCATTTTCCTTCTCCCTCCCCTCACCTCCCTTTTCCTTCCCCTCCCTTTCCCTTCAGTATTGTTATCCAAACATAGTGTTATAAAACAGCCCCCTGAGTCCAAACCTAGAACTCCTAAAAGGGAGAAATATTCAGCCAGTCACAAAAGGGGCAACCTCATAACCTCCCAACTTACACTTCAAGCTTCAGAATCAATGACCATGTATCACTTACACCATGTCATGGAATCTGTATCGATTGCATGAAGATAACCCCATCCCCAAAGACCCTAATCTACAGAATAGAACTTTACGAATATATTTTAACACTATTGAGTGAACACTACTTTAGCATCAAACAAGTCACAAATATGTAGGATGTGAAAAAGATAATCACAAAGATCAAGGGATGCATAACATTCATCAAATACAGCCCCAGAAACAGATTTTAAATCAGTATAACATAATCTTCCAGCAAAACTACAGAATTGCTTCCTCATGACCGAAATACTGGATGACCATAAACTAGACTAATAATTTCAATAACACAGTGGCTTGGTACATGCATAATAAATTAACAATGCATCAGTAGACAGTAGTACTACTTTTAAGCTTTAAGGCATCTTAATTCTCCCTTACTGAATTTTGATTTTTAACGAGCATATACATGTGCCTTCAAATACAGAGTATCTCAGTGCTGCATATGGCTTCAAAGAAAGAAAAAACAATTCATAATCCCATCAAGTTATATTTTCATAGATCTCTGACAAAAAATTTCACCCACACTACTCTCTTCTGTCTTCAAATAAATTACACTTCTAAGAAGATTCAATACCATAAGTGAAATATTTATAGCATCAGCATCAAAAGAGTACACTACACATGCAGTACCACATCCAAACAGGTTAACTACTCCAAATACTAGTAGCTCAAAGTAGCAAACTTGCAAATACTACTATATCAATCAATCAAAGCCTTAATCCCATAAGTGGGGTCGACTACATGAACCAAAAGTGATTATTCTGTATAGTCATCCACAAAAATCTTCCTCCTCCATCCCTTACGATCAAATACTAGAAGCTCAAAGCAGCAAACTTGCAAATACTACAGTACTATACAAGTAACAAAAACATAGAAGATAATTCTACAGAGGTAAACTAATGACATAATTGCTTACTCTGTTGAGAGGGTTGTCAGGAGATTTCTTCCACAGTTTCCATATCATTTCCTTATACTGAGTGTGTGTCAGACCTGGTTTGTCAGCCTTCAGCCTTGGTAATTCAGCTTCTTCAAAAGCCTATGAAGTCAAAAAGTCATGAACACATACAGCCTTCAGAAAATAAACATACACATTTAATAAAATAGAAAAAGACTTGACAAACAAAAGAATAACACAGAGAATGAAGCACTCAGCGCTAAACCACAACCAAACACAAGTTGTAGCAGCTTTTGATAAAGTAGCAATCGGCTAACAAATATATACCAAATACATGTATACAACCATCTAGTCAAACTAGCTAACCGCTAATTGTCAAACAAGGACTGTGACTAGAGGGCTCACAAAGAATGTAAGATGAAGGTTTTGTGATAGGAACAAGAAATTGTGATAGGAACAAGAAAGAGCATCTCCTTCCAAAATACATGGGCAAGTAGGCAATGAAGTTATCAATCACAATTGTGTAATTACTTGGCATTCACCTAAAATGCACCCTCTATACAAATTATCACAATTAGCCCATCAAACTATTGAATACATGCACTTTATTTAACCATTCAAGCAGTTAATCATCCACCACTACAATCTTTTGTTACACCACCAATATAAACACACTCCCTTTGCTCTTAGTTGTCATACCCACCTTTTGTTTTACTCGTTTCTACTTCATTCTACATTAACAAACACAATATACCATCTTATGCCTCGTTGCCGCATAATTTATCCACATTCTTCTTACACACACCCACTTCCTACCCCCTTTTCCTTACACATGAACACACTCAATCTCTTAGTTTGCATTTCCCAATTAGTAGAACAAAAGGAAACAAGAGAGTATGGAGCATAACACAACCATCGTTAACAATGTCCCTGTAACATTGAAGTATCAATTCACCTGTGCTAAATCATAACCATCAATATCAACAGTATTCACCCAAAATCAACTAACACTAATAATTCCTGCAAAACCCTAAGCATAAGAATTAAACAGAACACTATAAATACTACGAGCATTAATTTAGGAATACACGACAAAATCACACGACGATCAGCATAATAAATTACCTTAAAAGAAGCTTTGAGTCTCTTCTCAGGATGCTTATCAACAGGCAAAGTATCAGCAACAGAAATCTGAGCAAGAGCTTCTTCAACAGTATGAGCCTCAATCAAATCACCTTCTCTATTCCTATTCTCAACCAACACAATCTTCTCATACTCATCTTCACCCGCCATTCTACTCTGCTTCTTCTTGGCCTCCTCCGCCTTCCGCCGCATCTCCTCCTCCTCTTTCTCCTTCCTCCGCCGCAACTCCGCCTCCGTAACCTTCGTCGGCGTCGCCCCCATAACCCTATTCGCCTTCTTATCAAGCTTCTTCAGGGACTTCTCAATTTCTTGCTCCTCTTGCTCGGCTAATCGGCGCGCCTCGGCTTTCTTAGCGGCGGCTTCGGCGCGTTTCTGCTCTTCTTCTTCGCGTTTCTTGGCGGATCTGGATTTGGAGCCTTCGGCTTCGCGCCAGTACTGGTCTTCCTTTTGCTTGGCTTCTTGAGCCTTCTTCTCGGCTTCTGCGGCGGCTTTTCGAGCTTTGGCGTCCTCGGCTTTGCTGTTGACACCCATCTTCTTCGGCATCTTTGAAGGTTTGATTGATTGTGAATTTGGGATTCTGGGTTTTTTTGATTTTCTGGAGTTTGGATGAATTGATTTGGAGAATTGATGAATGAATTTGGGGTTGAATTTGAGGAGAGAGAAAGCGGTTGAATTGAGTGGACAATTGTGTTCGCGTATGTTGTTGCGTACAAATGGTGAATTTTTTGGGCTTACGTTACCTTGTGTTTTTGCCAAAGGAGCTTTTGAGAATACTTGGCCCAATTCAAATACAGTCCTTGTCAAATTTAAAATAAAAAATAAATAAATAAATTTTGATCAATAGTATCTTTGATTATCAATAAGTATAGCTTATAAAAAATTGATATTTAAAACTATACACTAAGACGAATCTAACAATTACACACATGATTATATCTGATTTCATGTACAATATAATTTCACGGCTTGTGTGCGACATTAGAATTTTACTACTACGACATTAGAACAATGATATACTCGTGTATAACATTGTTCTTATTCTTCCAAAAAATAAACTTATTCTAGTCCTATATACAAGTAGCTATTTGTATACTAAAAGCAAACCTTTGGCACACAGTATCTAAATTGCAATTGTTAATGTTATTTGATTCAGTTTCAACATTCTGCAGCATATGATCTAAAGCCAGATTGCCAGGTGAGATGTGTGCTTTTACAAAGCCAACATTGAATTATTTTGTGGGGTAAAATTAAAATGAATAATTGTACATAGCCTTATAATCTCTATATATATTATTAATGTTAAGTAGTTGTATGAAATTTAATTATTCCATAGATAATTTGTAATCTAGTCTTAAGCAGTTAAGCTCATTATTGGGCGCATTCAACTTTTAAGAAGTAAAGTATCATCATCAGAAATTCAAAACTGACTTCCCTAAAAATGAATCATGTCAATAATTATTTTTAATAGCTCATGGTTGAGGCATTGTTAGGGCTGTGTACAATATATATTGTACTCCGTAGTACTATTGAGACGCGCTATTGATTCATATGATTACAGCATATGATCTTAATGAAGAATAAAAGTATATTAAGCACCATAATATGGCATTAGCTGAATATAAATGAGCCTATGATGAACATGTACATCTTGTGAGTTGTGATAGCTTTTTAATGATACTATGCTACTGTAACATATAACTGTAATTTCTGATGTTAGGCAATCAAAAAGTTCTACATCTCTGTCCTCCATACTGACCATGATGCCATTTCTTCAACCTCCGCCTCTTTTCCCGCCCTCCGACGTCCCTATAACTCAACTTCACCCCCACCCATTTTGCTTCTCCGGTTATCTCCTGTCGAGACACTGTTCGATATCAGGGATGTCATCAAACTCTGTAAAAGAATCTAGAGGCACACGAAACAAAGGCTGTCATTGAATAGCCAGTGCATGCTGAAGCTGTTAAATAACACCATCCTCGAAAGCCTCTCTTTCTAGTCTACATGCATGCAGAAAGCTATAGTTTACTTGGGTGACATGCAACTTTCTTCTGAGAAACTTCTCTCAGTAAATCAGTTGACTAAGCAATTAATGTGCATTTATATACCTAAGTAGTTTACTGAGCAAGACAACATTTTTTGGTATTCGAAGTATGCATGCAAATTATGAGTAACTAAGTTATCATAGACATATAAGACATTTGTCATCATGCAGCTAAGGTCCATTAAAAGAGTAAATTTTTGATAAATAGTTTGAACGATCCAGGCAATATATCAACCATCATACATGAAAGTTATAATAACGTAAAATCAAGTAACATACTGCAAAATTTTGGCAAGAGATGAAAGTAGTTATAATCATAGCAGTAGTGCTGTTGATTGCACAAGCAGCAATCACAGAAGCAAATAACAGTAATAGTATCCTACAGCAAAAACCATCTATAGCAGATGATGAGAAGAGAAGCAGAATCCGTAGTACAAGTAGGAGAAGAAGAAGAAGATCAAGACTAAGAGGAAGGATAAGAAGTAGAGGAACAAGTCGAGGTGGTAGACTGAGAAGAGGCCGCAATTGTGACCCTTTATACGGTTACTTGTTTGATATGTGTGGGAGATGGCCTTTTCCTACTTCCCCTTCCCCTGATAATCCTTTTCTCCATACACCATCATCACCACCACCATTTTCACCTTCTCCCCAACCGCCTCCAACTGTGCTTCCTCCACCGCCATTTCTCTTACCACCATCACTACCGCCTCCTGCCCCACTTATCTTCCCTCCTCCACCAGCACCATTACTGTTGCCACCACCACCAGTAATTCTACCTGCACCACCTGTAATAGTACCTCCACCACCAGTATTACCTCCCGCACCTGTAGTACTGCCTCCCGCACCTGTAGTACTGCCTCCCGCACCTGTAGTATTACCTCCAGCACCTGTAGTAATACCTCCTGCACCTGTAATACTTCCTCAACCACCTGTGATACCACTGCCACCTTTATATTCCCCACCACCACCTCCACTTGTTCCTTCACCACCACCTCCATCATTCTTTTTTCCACCACCAGTGTTTGGCTTCACTCCGCCTCCTCCATTGGTCTCGATTCAGCCACCAGAGTTTGGCTTCACTCCGCCTCCTCCATTGATCTCGATTCTTCCACCGGAGTTTGGAATTCCACCTTTCTTCACACCACCTACAACACCATCAGCGCTCCCCTTTCCACCACCGATAGTTGAATCCCCACCAATGACACCGCCTATATTATTTCCTCCACCATTCTTGCCACCATCTCCACCACCAGTGTTTCAGCTTCCACCCTCACCACCGTCATCAGTTCCATCTTCGCCGATAGGGTTTGCATTTCCTCCATGGATACCACTACAAACTCCACCACCACCATCTCTTGGAGATATATACCAGCCATCACCAATACCATGGCTTCCATGGTCGCCATTACCATGGCCAGCACCTTCTGTTGGAGAAATCAACCAGCCACCAATACCATTGCCATGGGAAGCTCCTCCTGCTAACAATGGTAATGGCAATATTGATCAGCCACCAACATGGCCATGGCTAACACCTCCGGATGATGGTAGTAGTAATCGTGGTGGTTTCGGTATGACGCCGCCATTTGTTGATCCATGGCTATCTCCTCCAGCATCACAATATGGGGATTATCCGCCAATTTGGATGGCTCCTAGCGAGCCAGACCAGTTTTTCTCACCACCTCTTGTACCAGTACCTACTTAATCTTTTACATTTTATAGATGCAATGTCAGCTGAATTTCCATTGATTTTGTCAAATGTTCTTGTCAAATATTTACTCCTTTTTTTTTAATTAGTTGCAACATTTTTATTTTCAAGTTTGATAGTTGATACTGCATAACTATTACTTCCTCTATTTCTTTATAGTTGCAACACACACTTTATCACGATATTTAAGAAAAGTGATCTCACATGATATAATACATTTAAAATGGAGTTAAGGTTATTAGAAGTATAATCAAGTGGGTCATAGCTTTAAATAAAGGTAATTGTACAATCTTCATCAAAGAAAACCTTCCTTTTATAGTGTGTTGCAACTATTGTTTTTATGGTGTGTTGCAACAATTGTGACATTTCCATTTTAGAAAAATATTGCAGTTATAAAGAAACGAAGGAAGTATGTCTTAAATATAAATCGCTAAAGATAAGCCACAACTCACAAGATAGGCATTCCTTAAAACTAGCGTTATAATTTATTGGCAATACAGTAAGTCAGAAATAGAGCTAGTCGCCAATTCCACAAACTAAAGTTTTTAATGTGGACTTTTACTTAGAAAAGGCACACAATACAAGGATTTCCTCATTCATTGGGTCTGTATATTTTCAATCTCTCATCGCCTACAACCGCAGTAGGGAGGCTACACGGTTGGCATTTCTATCCAAAATAACATAATAAATTTCGTTCTAGCGCCTTTGTCTATGCCTTATTGCCAGTTGCTTGTGCTACTGTGTAAAACCATACCTATTGAATTCCCAACTTCAGAGAGCTACATAATCCTAATCAATTCTCATATTAATGTTGGTTCAAAGTATTCTATAATTGCCTAGAATTTTATTTTTCCTTATAAATAGAAGAGTGAAGAAGCAAAGTTTTAGCACAGCCCCAAAGTTTTCAATTATGAAAAGAAATATACTAATAATAATATTTCTAGCATTACTTTTGATCTCCCAGACATTCACAGAGGCTAGAACACATAAACATAACAAAGAGCCAAAGAAGAGAGCACCTAGTGGTAAAAGTAAGAAAGGCAGAGGTAAGAGTGTTCATCATCATAAATCAAAGGGCAGTAAGACCAATGAAAACACTAGTTGTGATCCCTTGTACCAGTATCTTTTTGGTAGTTGTGGGAAATGGCCATTTGCTCGATCTTCATCTAATAACCCATTTTTGCCAAGACAAAGGCCTTCACCGCCAGTGTCACCACCATTAACCCCCATAACTCCATCTCCTCCTTTAATGCCACCTCTCGTACCATCTCCACCACCTCCATCGGTGACTCCTTCACCATTTGTATTACCACCTCCTCCTCCTTTAGTACCTTCTCCGCCACCACCCTTAGTAGCTCCATCTTCACCTACACAACCATCACCACCTTCATTATTGTCACCACCACTACCACTTGTTCTCTCCCCGCCACTGCCATTAACACCATCTTCGCCAACACCACCTGATATCTCAACATTAACTCCACCACCGGCACTTATATTTCCACCTCAATTTGCATCACCACCACCCCAGCCAATAATCATTTCACCGCCACTTGCATCACCTCCACCAACAATCATTCCACCTCCACTTGCATCACCACCGCCAACAATCATTCCACCACCACTTGCATCACCACCGGTAGCACCAATCCTTCTATCACCTCCACCTGCACCGGTACTACCAATTTCATCACCACCACCAACACCAATCCCTTTTTCTCCACCACCTACACCAATACTACCATTGGCATCCCCTCCACCACCGACACCAACAATACCATTTGCTTCACCTCCACCAACACCAACGATACCATTTGCTTCACCTCCACCATCACCAATACCTTTTGCTTCACCTCCACCAGCACCAATACCTTTTGCTTCACCTCCACCAGCACCAACAGTACCTTTTGCTTCACCTCCACCGGCACCAACGGTACCTATTGCATCACCTCCGCCGGCACCAACGGTACCTATTGCATCACCTCCGCCGGCACCAACGGTACCAATTTCATCACCACCGCCGGCACCAACGGTACCAATTTCATCACCACCACCGGCACCGACGGTACCGATTTCATCACCACCGCCGGCACCAACAGTACCGATATCATCACCACCGCCGGCACCAACAGTACCAATATCATCACCACCGCCGGCACCAACAGTACCAATATCATCACCACCGCCAACACCAATCACACCATCTTTGTCACCACCACCAGCACCAACAGTACCAATATCATCACCACCGCCAACACCAATCACACCATCTTTGTCACCACCACCAGCACCAATAGTACCAATTTCTTCACCACCACCTACACCAATACCTCCTTTAGCCTCACCACCACCAGTGGATCCAGTTTTATCACCACCAGCGGCACCAATTGCACCATCTTTATCACCGCCACCAACACCAGTACCAACTGTTTCACCACCACCAACCCCCGTTCCAAATACACCTCCAGCACCCATTCCTACACCAACCACATCCATTCCCTAGCTATTTTTACACCTCCATTGAACCCCATACCATAACACCAATCATTTATGCGTAGATATAAACCCTTCTAGTCTTCCAAACCCAACACTAGTCTAAACCCCGTGCCTATATCAACCCCTTCACTTCCATAAATTTCTTAAAATCACTAGACTACTCAATGTCAATCTAAGAAAGGAACTAAAAATAGCTATTCATGGATTCATGTCATGGTCAGCCATATGATCAACCAGCCCCAAAATCATCTCCACCATTCACCTACTCGATTAAGATTGCACAAATCTTTACAGTGCTAAAGGCTATAGCAGCAACAGCCTCTTCAAGTGATGTACGTTTCAATTTTAGTTTGCAGCTTTTTAATTATTGTACCAAAAAATGGATGCATTAGAGCATTCATAGACGAATATGATTGTTTATATATATACATATTAGTAGTTCAATTCTCTTGTTTAATTAATTTTCTTTAATTTTAATAGTTGATACAAAGCTAGCAACCTGGCAATATACTCCCTGCTAAGGTTCATAACTCATCGAAAATCCTAAAAGTAACTTCAAATGGAAATCAAGAAATTGAAAGGTTTGTGTATAAGGAGGCCAAAAAGGTGGAGTCATTAGGCAAATGCTACCATGTAACTCTCTCTTCTCCAATTTAATTTACACTTTATCTTATTTGACAATTAGTTGTTCAATCTTGGTTGTAATTATACAAAATGACATTTAGGAACACAAATATCCAATGTGAGAGTAACAAACTTCCACCTCTCAACTCACAATCAAATAAATAATCTAACTAAAGAAAACCAAAGCTTAATACTAACTCTATTTTCGCCTTTTCGACATTGAATCCTTTAGAGGGGGATTGTAACTCTACATTGTAGAGTTGAGAATAATCACAAGTTCACAACCCTCCATAAATATATAGTTACCCATGATACATATACACCAAAAATAGACCATTAAGTTTTTACCCTTCTTGTATAATTGAAGCTACAATCATCCTCCATTATCAATTTTCCAAGCAAGAAACAACTGATAGCTAGTAATTCTCCATTACCAATTAACCAAAACAGAAACAATTGAAAGCAAGTAATCCTCCATTACCAATTAACCAGAACAGAAACAATTGAAAGCGAGTAATCCGGACCCATTATCAATAAACCAAGGCAGAATCAATTGAAAATAGGTAATGAACAGTTTGTGAATTCCTATTTACATTGTTATTAATTTAGCACTCTCAAGAACAACAACAATAGCCCTCAATCAATTAAGCACTAAAATTTAATCTGGTTGAAATTGACATGCCAACAAAAAAAAAAAATACCTGATTAAGGAATTAAATAATGATCTGCAAGCTTATCGATGGTCGCCGGAAAATTGTGGAGTCCTTGAGTAGAAGTGGTGGAAAGAGAGCATAAGAAAAAATAAAGTGAGAAGAGTAGAGGAAAGAGTGGGTTCGATCCCAATACCTTTCCCTACCACCAAACTACCATATCCCACTGCGTTAACTCGAGTCGGGTTGACCTCCACTGCGTTAACTCGAGTCGGGTTGACCTATGAGTGATTTCGGTTATATGGGCTTATTTAAGATATTTGGGCTTGAGAATAATTGGACTTTGACCAATGACCTTGGTTTATAATCTTGTATGATTGTATTAAGTTAGCCACTTAGAATCAATCGTTCTTTAGCCAAATATTGCTAATTTGCAATTGTAATAACTAAATGAAAATTAAAGTACAACCAAAATGTTTGTAATTTTTGAAGTAGGGAGTAAATGTTTTACGTTAGGATCTGAAACGTGATCCAAGTCCATGATATAGTACTCCGACACTCGGCATTGTATAACTCATGTACTTCAGTACAATTTTGATAGTTACCTAACTTGCCTCATGACTGGCTTATGATAGAAATTTGTTCATAAATTGCTTGGAATAAAATTAAATAGCACATGTATGAGTCATATGGCGTACTCAAACTTTTTGTATGCCAAAATCAACATATAACATAAACACTCCTAAATTGTTCAAGTAAAAAAGATCACATGGTATCTCTCTCTTTACCTCCACCATTCGTCATATTATATTCCCCGCCCTTCTGGCTTCCCCTATCTTATCTATTTCTCATGGGAGACCTCCATCGATCATAACCCTAAAACTTTTAGCCTGTGTTACAAGAAAGTACATTGTCGAGACTAACTTCCTTGAAGTTTATTTTATCCTTGTACAGTTGTAGTGTTGTACTGACGTGTCCACCCTGACTAATACGACCATATCTAAAAGGAAAATTTTTATATGTGGCTGGCCACATGGTGTGGCCAGTCCGTTTCATATAAAATAAAAGGTGTCTTTCTTTTTTTTTCATTTTATTACATCAAAAGGTTCTTCTTTCCCAAAGTTTTCTCATTTTCTCTGTTTCCATTTTATCTCTCCTCAAACTATTCTTCTTCCATTTTCTCTCTCCTCAAATTCTCTCTCCTCTAAATTGTTCGTTTCGTTGATAATGACTAAAATCAAGATAATCTTCCCCAAGGGAAAGAAAGAATCGACATATATGCTGTACTCTCCTACTTCTGATATAAATCAAACCCTAATTTTAGTAATTTTTCGATTTTCCTGTCATCTATGCTCTGCAATTTGAACAAGTATCGTGAGATTGTTTTTGGTGGTGTGAAAGAATTCGTGAGTAGAAATCAAGCAATTTATGAAGAATTACTAGAGAATGAAAAGAAAAAAAAAAGGCAGATGAAATGGAGGCTGCTAAGAAGATGCCGGAGGAGCTTGCTAATGTAGAAGATACAACAATAGTTACTTTTTTCATTATGTAGGGATTACTTTTAAAAAATATAGTGTACTTGTTTTAGGGGTTACTCGTTGGTTTTATAGGGAGGGGTTACTTGTTGATTTTACAAGGGTTATTTGTAAAGTTTTAGGGGGTTATTACTTGTTACTGGTAGTTTATTAGAAGTTACTTGTTTGTTTTATAGAATTTGTTGTTAAGTTAGAGGGGTTACTTGTTAATTTTTGTTAAGTTTCAGGTGTTACTTGTTAGTTTTATAGGGGTTACTTGTTATTTTTAAGAGTTACTTGTTAATTTTTGTTAGAGTTATTTGTTTATTTTAGTGGTTACTTGTTAGTTTAACAGGGGTTACTTGTTAATTTTTGTTAGGGTTACTTGTTTATTTTCGGGGTTACTTGTTAATTTTTGTTAGGGTTACTTGTTAATTTTTGTTAGGGTTACTTGTTAATTTTATAGGGGTTACTTGTTAATTTTTGTTAGGGTTACTTGTTTATTTTCGGGGTTACTTGTTAATTTTTGTTAGGGTTACTTGTTTATTTAGGGGTTACTTGTTAATTATATAGGGGTTACTTGTTAATTTTTGTTAGGGTTACTTGTTAATTTTTGTTAGGGTTACTTGTTTATTTTAGGGGTTACTTGTTAATTTTTGTTAGGGTTACTTGTTTATTTTAGGGGTTACTTGTTAGTTTAACAGGGGTTACTTGTTAATTTTATAGGGGTTACTTAGCTTGTTAATTTTATAGGGGTTACTTGTTAATTTTTGTTATGGTTACTTGTATATTTTAGGGGTTACTTGTTAATTTTTGTTAGGGTTGCTTGTTTATTTTAGGGGTTACTTATTAGTTTAACAGTAGTTACTTGTTAATTTTATAGGGGTTACTTGTTTATTTTAGGGGTTACTTGTTAATTTTTGTTATGGTTACTTGTTTACTTTAGGGGTTACTTGTTAGTTTAACAGGGGTTACTTGTTAATTTTTGTTAGGGTTACTTGTTTATTTTAGGGGTTACTTATTAGTTTAACAGGGGTTACTTGTTAATTTTACAGGGGTTAGTTATTAGTTTTACAGGGGTTACGTGTTAATTTTACAGGGGTTACTCGTTAATTTCTTCAATTTCATTGTATCTGTTTTCATCTTCCAGATCCAATACCTGATTACTGGTTTGGATTTCAAGATTCATCAAAGAATCTTCAATTTGTTCGATCTCTAATGATTCTTGTGAATCAGGTAATTTTTCGATTTCTTCTGCCATTGTTATTCTTTAATTTCTGGAAGAAAAATTGTGTGAGGTTTCGCTCAATTTTCGCATTCGTTCCTCGTAAATGAGTTGTTATGGGTTTTAAGGTTTAGAAATTTGCCCATGTTTTGTAGAGCCATTTTGTTCAGCGCTTGTTTCCTAATCCCGTTATACGCGCGTCGTTCTCCGTTATTTTGCTGACTTGGAAGCAGGCCACACAGTGTGGCCTGCTGCACCAAAAAGACGTCGTATCTAAAAAAAAAAAAAACCTTTAATTTTGACTCAAACCGTATCCGGTTATACCCATGGAAGGATTGAACTACCCTGTCCAATAATACCTTGACCCGATCAAAGTTTAATATCAGGTTTGAACAGTTTATATGTGCCCGACCGGCCCGATTGGCCTGAAATAGTGAGTTTGGACACGATTTTACCAAAACCCGACCCATGATCCTAATAATCACCTCTAACTCTCTAAGTCTAATATTCATGGAAGTTTGCTAACTCGTAAAAAGCAGTTAGCAATAACTGAATAATTTATCATGCATTGAGGTTGTTACTTGTTAGGACTGTTAGGCCTATGTACGATTAATATTGAAGTAGTGAGACGCGTAAATGCGTAATTGATGCTAATGCAAACAAGAGCTAATAATACGAAGTATGTATTAGTATTAAACAAAACACCTTAATATGGTATTAGCTGTGTGTAAACAAGCTTATTTATATTAGTATAATTTTATGGCGTAATAATATAGATTATCTTGTGAAAGCTTTAACTTAATTTGATAATATGCTAGCTAACAGCTAACTAATTATTTATGATTATCTCATAATTTGACATTTGATCGACTAGAGATCATGTTTAATAGAATTTCATTGATTTTTTAGATATATACTAATACATCTTATTAGTTGGCTAGATAATCTTGTCATAAAAACTAAAATAAATAGTTGGCTAGATAATGTTGCGGTACTGTATTAAGCTAAGATTAAGGTAGTTAAATACTCTCTTTGTTTGTAAATTCCACACTAAAACCAATTGGTAATAATAGGAGTAACTCCTCTACCTTATAAAGTGGAACCACCTATCCTCTTTTTCCAATGTGGGACATTCACAAGTGGGCTACAATGGGTTTTAACAATTAGGCCCCGTTCTCTTCACCTTAATTTTTCTGAACTAAAATTATTTTTACGAAACTGAAATTATTTTTGCTAAACTTAAATTATTTGAACTAAAATTATTTTTGCTGAACTAAAATTATTTTTACTGATTTTCTATTATAATTCTTCTTTAAGAAAACTGAATTTTACTGAACTGAACTTATTTTTACTGAACTGAATTAATTTTACTTAATATTATTTTTTAAAGGTGAAAAGAATAGGGCCTTACTCGTAATTGTTTGTTAAGTTATCATACACTGCACCAACAAATTTCAATCAGTTGTTAGGGTAAAACTTTGTTACAGATCAATGCGTAGTCTAGATACACAAGTTTCTGTTAGATGCATGGGAGTTCAGATTTCTATTCGACTTTAGGTGAAATACCTACATTTGAGTATAGTACATAGCTTTTTGATTAAAAAAAAAGTCGTTTTGATCTATTGGTATATCATGAAAATAAATAAACAACTAAACTTGGTGAACCCACAAGATACCATGATTAATTGTGAGGATAAAGAAATAAGCGTGCATAAGTTGATCCACTCTTTACGTCAGTTAACTATCATAGGCGCATGAAATCAAGATTTTGCCTTAAGATCCTGTAACAATAACTCTTTAAAGCACAATTAGGAGCATATTATAAACTAATACTCCACTAGTACAATACTCCACAGTGTTTATATACAAGTGTAGCATAAGTGAATATTCTTTTTTACATACTCCACATAATAGCTACTACGGAGTATGATTATGTTCTTTTGAGTTATTCTGCTTTGATGAGTCATATTTTGCTCTATTGAGCATTAATAATCTGTTTTGCTAATACCTGCTCTACTTAGTTGAAGGACATGTTCTCTTCGGCTTAATTTCAGTTCAGTTTAGTTACTAATGTCCTTCTCTCATAAACAGTTTAGTTTAACTCAATTCAGTAAATCAGATTAGACCCGAAGTCTGCTCTCTGTTATGCTTGTAAGCTCAAAAGAACAAGGCTTATGCATCTTAAAATTTTAGGGATATACCAGTAGTTGACATCTATATAGAATATGAAGTATTCCTTAGGAGTATTAATTACAGTGGTACTAGTAGTAGAGATTAGAATAATGAGAAGGGGTAATTAATGC